GGTTATTACATAATTTATGATTAAGCGGGTCTATCAACCAATGCTAGTACACTTCACTTCATACCCAAATCTGACCACACAACACACAGACTTATCAAACACACAATCTTATCAAACACACATATGGTATACCAGTTATACTATAAATGGCAATACACAAATCAGACAAAAAACACCACACAATACTCTATTTATTGATTCAATGACATACAATGAGACATAAAAGAGCCGCAATTACACATTCCACTGTCCCTATCATACCTAAATTGAAGCCTACAAACACTAACAATAGCATACCATTGTATGAATTAATATCAAAATCCAAAAGATGTAAAGAATTACAAAGGATCTTACATTCTAGATGACACTAGTTAATTTAAGTAGTTGAATTCAATTAAAGAAACAAACCGCATTTATTTTCTTCCGAAAATGAGCAGAAGTAGGACATTCTTACAGAACAAGACAATCTATAGAAATTTTTCACACACCCAAGATTAACCAATCAACTACAAGCCCTCATGTAAAATACTGGTAAATGCATTGAGACAACTAGACAAATATCAAGAACATAGTGTAAAATAGTGTATAACACAGTTAGGCAATTATCAATAACATCAAACCCTAACCTTGTGAGTGATCTGGAGACTAGATGTAACGGCCGCCCCAATACAGGTTGCTGGTGCTGTTGACACTGTCAGAGTCATTGGCGCTGGAGTCCACCTCAGGGTCAGAATCATACCAGCTGTCACCGTCGTAGTTCTAGTCTTGCCCTCTGGCCTTGGTCTCTTTTGCCCGCCCTCCCTTATTTTCCCCGTCAACCTCCTGATTGTCCTGTTCCCCACCCTCTTGGCTGTCCTCATCACCGATGTCTGTCTCAGTTTCATCATCGCCTTCATCTTTTTCCTTTTCTTCTCCAGCAGCCAACCGTTCTACTTCTTCTTCGCTATCAGAGATGAATCCATTCCTCTTCTCCTTCGCTTCAAGGTAATCACGCTAGGAGGTGATATCAGCCATCAGGAAGATGAAGTAAGCGTCAAAGCTAGCTAGGTTTTCAGCTGAATTTTTGCTTGGATCGGGCTTCCAAAACTGTGGGTTGAAAGGTGTTGGTGTTGCAGTGCTTTGGCTTCCAGTTTCCATTTTTGGAGTGTGAGAAAGGAGAGTTACAGAGAATTAATTGCAGGATAGAGGAAATACGATTGAAGAAGATAGAGAATAGAAGTAATGAGCGGGACCCACAGAGTAAATTAAGGGGAAAAAAAAACTGAAGTAGCCCCAAAAATTGACCAATCAGAACAATGTTGTAATTATTTGCATGTTTGTATACGTAAAAAATAGAAAAAAAAAATTAGACAAAACATTTCCCAATAAAGAGTTGTGTTTTGAACTTTTGGTTGATGTATGATGATTTCATGTCTTACTCCGTACTCGTAGTATTTATGGACTTCGTACTCAAATAAGAACAATCCCGGAGTAGAAGGATAGTTTTATCCGTTTCATTTGTAGTCGATTCTAGGGGTGGGAATTATTCTTTGAGCTGAATTATTAATTTGGATCGGATCCAAACTTTAAAGCATATGGGAAACGGATTGTATTTTTTATGGAAAATTATATCGGATCAAAACGGATTGATCTTGTTCGACCAAATTAAACGAAATGTGAGACCACACTTTTAATATTAAGGATACATTACATAAATCATGTAAAATTTTAAAACATTGATATACATTTCGTTCAAATTTACTTACAAGATTCTTCACATTTCGTTAGTTATAAGTTACTTCGTTCTATTTAAGATCATTAAGAAATAAATAAACATTACGTATGTACTCGGAGCATCACATATAATGTTGTCAATTAACAAAATTTTCCGAGAATGAAGAAAAGTTCTAGTGAATAGGGAGTTTTACCAAAGATGATACAAGTTGAAAAGTAGTCGAAATCGACTGGATTCGAACAAACTAGACTCGTCAACGATCGGTCAAAACTCGACTATATAAAGCGCGATCTAATATGATAGCGAGGCTAGTAGCAGTACCCCATTCCCGATCTAGACTCGCAGTGTAAGGATCCCTAATATTCACATGTAAAGGATAGTCTACCACATAAAATAAAAAAAAATACCAAATCCTATGTATAAGGTGAGAGGGGGTTTTGGGTGATAAATTTTACTTTTCCAAAATACCCCTCTCATTTTTGTCTTTCCTTTTTTTTAAGAAAATAATACCATCCTTTAAAAAAATCGGCTACCATCTAAAAAGTAACTAACCTCTAAAATTAAAAAATCAAAATCAAATTAAAAAAAAAAAAAAGCCATTAGAAAAAAATATAGAATTGAATTTGATAGATTCACGCCCACAAATTTTTCGTGTGTCTCTTACGTTATATTATTAAAAGGGTAAGGTGTATTACCTCGTTTCTTTTTAGTTGACACGCATTATTCCATTTTAGGAAAGTTTTTTTTTAATTTTACCTTCCATTTACAAGCTACTTTAATTTTCTTTCTCTCTCACTCTATCCCATTTCCTTAATATATACGCCTAAATCAAACATGCGTCAACTGAATAGAAACGGAGGACGTATATGGTGGGTGTCATTCAGCATTCCGACCGCACATTGATACTTATCTTGCTTGTTCTTTGCGGAAACACATACCCGATTGAATCTAGTTAATATTTTACTCGTGAATTTTGGTCGCAGTAACTCTGACAATTCCATACGAATTTCAAAAGTATGGAGAAATTAAACTTGCTAATTGTGTCACATAAATAATCATAATGTACCAAAATTTGAATTGTGTCAAAAAAAAAAAAATAGAATGAATTGACAATTGGTCCACGTGGCATTATTAACTTCCATTTCTAATTCCTACACATAGTTTGGCGCGAAGAATTTAGGGAGTTGAGGAGTTACGTATGAAATCACCCCTTGATCACATAACTTCTCCTCCCACTATCTTTATATCAACTTCCACACTCTGTATTTCTCTCCAAACTTCATTTTGCTTATTCCAAACTTCCCCTCTCTGTATTTTGCAACTGTCTTTTCCAAAATTTACAAAGTTTCCAAACCTGCAAAAATGGTGAAGCAAAACAAAGGAAAACAGCCAATGGAGCCCTCAGATGAGCCAAAATACACAGAACTTCAATTCCTTGAGATGAAGAAGAAAATGTTGAGTGAGCAATTGAACGACCATCAGTTCATTTGCCAAAGCCTGCAGACCCAATTGAATCAAGTTACTTCAGCCATTTCTAACATTCGTCGTCCACAGGCACAGTCCATTCAGGCACTGAAGCAAAAGCGACAGAGCAAGAAGGCGGTGGATCCTCCGCTAAGGTTGGGGCCTACAACAAGACCCACCAAGCAGCGAAGACAACGACAATGAAGAGGGCAACTGGTCGGGGTGGTGCAACAGCGCAAGCACCAGTTGGTGACGGGAAAGGAGACAAATCTGCAGCCGGAGCAAAGGGGGAAGGTGAGGAAGCCGTTGCAGCACCAGCCGTGGCAGCACTAGAGGTGGCAGCACCAGTGGACGGCACCAGTGAGGCCAAGGCCAAGGCAGTGGCAGGTGAGGCAGAGGAGTCCGGACAGCCCCAGGGATGTCGCATCATCCGCTCCGTACCATGTCCGTGACCGGTGGTCCCCGGAGGTTTCTGACTAGGAAACCGGCGACTACGGTCACTCGGCTTCCACCATTGAAAAGTTTGACTGAAGGAGGTTAAGTAAACTAAGCCAATTACATTTGATTAAGGATTTCATATATCATGATTTAGTTGGCTTACATTTAAATTTTTGTTTGGTTTGATAGTACATTTTCATCTTTGTTGATTTTTAACAGTGTTTTTGCTTGGATTTTTCTTGGGTTTTTCTGATGTAATGAACAATTAAATCGTGGTTTGGACATGTTTAATTTGATGCATTTCGGTATTTTGGTACTTATCTGATCAATTAAGCCGTACTTTTATCGTGAAATACTCAATGTGTTATTGATATATTTGCTTATGTATTTTACATTGAAATCGCATGTTGGACATGTTTATGGTACTTCCGTATATTGATGCAGTTTGGTATTCTGGTCATTTTAAGATCAATTTAATGGTATTTGGGACATGTAATTAGATTAGCTGTTATGGGATCATATTTGATAATGTAGATCAATTATATCATATTTTGGACATGTTTAGTTTATTAACTAGCAATGGAACTTTAGTTAGATGATGCAGTTGGTATTTTGGTAATTATGAAATCAATGTAATCGTGTTTTGGACATGTAATTAGCTTATCTGTTATGTAGAGCTAATTTTAACTAACCCGAGCCCTATTATGCGGACTTCATAAAATGTCCAAGCCCCATCTATTCACGGGTCGGGCTTGCCCAAGGGCTCACGGGCCTACAATCTTAGTTTCCCATATATCTAACACTAATTGTTATTTTTTTTTATATCATTTACATATGTTAATATTATTTCGATTTAGTGATTTAAAAATTTCTTGAACACTAATGATACTAGACAAAAACATATTTACTTGTGACATATGTTTGTGAAAAAAAAAGGAAAGACTGAACTTATTTCATACAAGTATATGAAATTGAAAAACGCAGTTGTAGCTAATAATAGGTTAGAGTCCAATATAGTCTCTTTGTATTTATTTTATAAAATATACTACATATTCAACTAACTTAAAAATCATTAACCTATTACTCTTTGATATAAAGGGGCCGGATTGGACGGGTTTAGCGGGTTGACCCGTCTATGAACAGCTCTAATGATATGGGGTCATATATGTTGATTTTATGAACAATTAAATCGTATCTTGACCATTTGTAACTAGATTATCTTTTTAAAGCAATTAGTTTAATCATGCTAAGCTAATTAAGATGTTAGTATGGTTTGAGTGTGAGTATGTTAACCAGTTAAAACTAATAATGCTTATGTACATGTTGGGCCAAACACTTATAAGACTATCGGGGGCCAAATGTATTATAAAGCATACACCTATTCTATTACGCAGTCCAGCCCAATCACTCACATCAATCAGCCCAATTACTGATGTTCAGGTTTATGCATCCAAATACTCAATATGATTATTAGCTATTCCCTATTATTAGTTAGTTCTAACAGATAATTAAACAATCAGGATTTACAAGCTAAAATAAAAGTAAAAACAGTGCATAGAATACAAGTTATTTGGGCTGATCAACAACACAGCCATCATCTTAATGTTGCCACCATTGGGAGAAATTCATAAAACTCTTGACTTGTAGCCGCAGGGGGTACAGAAACCAATTGATCGGAAATAAATAGCGTGCTTCCATGATACAAAGGGTTCGAGCTTTCACTTTGATGTGGAAAGGAGTTTGGTGGTGCACCCCTCCTCTTCTTCGCTTTACAGCCACGTTGAGGAGTATGAAAATATTAATTTACCCTGCAAGGTCCATCGGTGTCTCGTGCTTCCTTTGGGTGGTTCTCACCGTAAGCTACATCCATCGTCTATAAAATGAAAAACAAAGAAGCAACACGAGGTTAATCTACCGATAAACACTCATTCATATGATTGGCAACAGACAATGCAACAAAATTGATAGTATTACTAACCCCCATCACACCATAGTCACCACCGCAAGCAATACGATCTTCTTTAGTGGCTAAGCTAATCTGATTTAGGTTCCAAACCTTAATCCTAGGGAATTCACCCCACTGAACGGGAAACCTATCCAGCTTATCCAAATAGAATACCTACAAGCAACAAATGCAAGAACTTTGTAATAAGGGCATAAGGCGGTACAATGTAAAGGAATATAGTAATATAGAGATGCACACAAACCTACCACAGCAAAAATGGTACAGCCACCACATCCTCCTGCTACTCCAGTCGAATAAAAACGACGCGCAAAACTAGCAACGCTTTCCATCAACTTATTCAGAACAAGCTCACACCAATTGTACGAGGCAGCATTCATAGCACACGTAAGGGCGGGAAATAAATCACAAGCCAGCCTAAGAGACTGCGTAGGACATAAAACCATCTCCAATGATATCAACAGAAAAATAGTCTTAAACTCCTCTTCCTCATCTACATCCCATTCACCCTCCAACCTTTCCATCAACCTGGAATTCACAGGTATTCCAACAGAAGTATAACACACGCCCTCCATCCTTGCGCGATCTGGTCTTTGAAGATTGGCCATATTTTTACTGGATTTCATTCACCTTCTTTTGCAGATCACCTGACATGGATTTCCCAGTGGGAACAGTTAACCCACCATTTGGGATACCTAGAACCCAGTGTACCTGATTAGCCGATAACCTAAATTGCTTTCCATCCGGAGCAACTAGCAACTTATTCAACGGATCAATACGACTCATTAGCCAATAACCCATTTGTCGGGGCAAATGAATGTCAGTTAGGACTTTCAACAGCACACCTAAGCCCATTTCATTTACCCATCGTGTCCTCCTCTCATCAAATGTATTGCATATCCTAGAAAAAGTCTCAACTCGACAGTTCATGTTTGGTGGCTGCAATCACATTACAGAACACTAGTTACTTTTAGGACATTAACAAATGTGGTTCTCTTATTCGTTATTAATACAGTCGAGTTAATCACATACCCGACAGAAAATATTACATTGTTGCTTTATAACTTCACCCTTTGCTTTCACTATACCACCAATGCTTAAAGTATCATCCTACAGACCACCAAGAAATGCATTATTACATTTGACTGAATATTACATTTCAAACAAACTTAAAAGCTTAACATACCATAAAGACTTCCTTGCTTAAGACTTTCCTCTTAGTATGATTTAATACATTGATATCGCCCTGTTCAAAATAAACAAAATCCCCATATCACAACTACACAAACTCACACATTTCAAGTTATCAATGTAAGGTTCAACTAGAGCGTTAGATAACGATGACACTTACCATCCTTTCCAATAGTCAGCCTCCAACCACCGAAGAAATTATCCTAATTAATTGCTACAAGGCCTACAATCTGCATATTGACAATATTCAAACAAATTACTAATTTCCTACAATCTACACTGCATATACAAATATGGTCCATTTGATGCAGCACTAGTTTCTCAGGTAGGAATTCAATTGCACATAACAAACAAACCTAATTAGCACAAAAGTATAAAATTTCAATTTCCAAAACAGACACAAAGGCGATTAATTGCAATAAATACATTTTAATGCAATGCTAACCTCATTTCAGGAACTCAACTCAAACAATGCTAAGCTAAGAAATTAAAGTACGCATCAAACGTGACCTGAAATTCAACTTCAACTACGAAAACTGGAATAATTCTAACAAGTTCGAATTGAAAATCAAACAAGTTCGAATTGAAAATCAAACAAGTTCGAATTGAAAATCTAACAAGTTCGAATTGAAAATCAAACATCACCAACATATTGAAATTCAACCAGGTGACAAAAATTAAGGCTCTATAATATACTTACCAGCTAGGGAGCTCCAATCTTCGAACAACTTCACGATTTCAAAAGCACTCCCTCAATGTTTGAGATTTTGAGCTCCAATCTTCGAACAACTTCACGATTTCAAAAGCACTCCCTCAATGTTTGAGATTTTGAGCTCCAATCTTCAAACAACTTCACGATTTCAAAAGCACTCCCTCAATGTTTGAGATTTTCTCACTCCAAGGGTTTCCAATTCGTTGAGGTAGATTGGGAGACTGTTAGCACAGTCAGTCAACCAAATGAGTCATACACATGACATGTCCAATTAAACAAGTAAAAAGACGCTTTTGCCCCCGCTTTTGCCCCGTGAGTAACATATTTCATCTCTCACGGTGATAAATATGAATTTGCCGAAAAATAACTTATGAAATTTCTGATATAAATTTTCTTTTAGGAATCCCTACAAAGCGTATAATACAAAATTTGGGAGATTAATAAAAAACATAAAGTACTTCAATTATAGGTAGATCATTAGATGAGCTACTGCTCTATTTATTTTTAAAAAATGTTTTTTTTTGAACTACATAAAATGAATATTTTCTTGATTTTATTAAATTATACTGTATATAACTCTAACCAATAAATCTATCTACATAAACTAATTTCTTATGGATCATATATGTATAGAGGAGAAATTTACAATATAATTTATTTATTTATTTAATTTTTTTAAAAATCTTTGTCATCCCTTACATTAGAAGTTTATGCATAGTAAACATAAGTCTACTTCCTAAATTATGATAATTAAGATAGACAAGAATGTTAATAATTGAAAATAAGATTTATTATTGATATTCTAATATATGACGTATGTGGCAAGAGTTGTAATATTTTGATATTAGTTTTTCGAACATAAAAACATTATATTGTTCAACGTTAAAGGTGATCACGGGTCGAACTCAACTTTGGGTTGAAAATCATGCCCAAACTACTATTTCGGACCAAAAAATAATGAATTTTCGAGCTAAAATTTTTATTGTAACAACAACTTATAATTTTCTGTAGAATGGACAATTAATTATATTAAGTAAGCAAAGATTGTGCTATTATGTTGAATTGTATTTTAAGCCTATTTTTTTTAAAAAAAAATAAATACTTTTATATCTTTGGAATATTCTAAACTAGATAAATCCCGTGCGATGCACGGTTTGTTAGTATTTTTTTTTAAAAAAAAAATATTTTTCATTTTTATGTGATTGAATATTATATTTTTTTGAAGAAAAAAAAAATAATTTTCCTCAAAAAAAAAAAATAACAATTTTAATCACATAAAAATGAATTAGTTTTAAAATATTAGATTCCTAATCTCAAAAGATATTTTGTATTTAATTAATTTAAACTTTAAAATCTCATTCGTCAATTTTGCTTACGTTACATTTGAATTATTTAATTGTAAATAATACTCTCTTATTTAATTGGCTACAACTTAAATTTACAACTATATATGGCGCATTAAGAAAATATAATCCTACGTGGCTCTCTAAAAACTCGGGAAAAACTCCCTTTATATATATATGAGATTAGATAGATTGTGTTAACATGGGTAATTTTCATATTTTCATTGAAAAACTCGCATAATTTTACAAAATTGTGAATTGTTTATAATTTTAAGAGTACTTAAAATTTAGACACTAAATTTCTACTCCCCTCCCACTTTAACCCTTTTTTTTTTTTTTAATATATATAGATATAAAAATTAGTGACATATTTAATCATGGTGCAAAAAATTTCTGCCAAAACTCATACAAACTTACAAAGTATTCTCTCTTTTTTATTCTTTATACAAGAATGTGATATTTCATGTTCCATTTTATGAACTACATCAAATTTGTCAACGATATTTTGAAACCCTTTATATTTTTTAATCAATTAATTAAATATAGTAAAAAATATAGCATTAATTAAATATAACATTACATTAATAATAGATTACGAAATAACCGTTCATGATACGGGACCTAGCCCATTTACTTTTAATAATAATAAAAAAAAAACTACTACATATTTAGACCGGTTTGCCCCATCAAATACCCACGTTTAAGACCTAGCCCATTTACTACGTATTTATTTGCCCCTGCCTGTCACTCAGCTCTCCATTGAATCGCACTTCCCATCGCACATTGAAGCAGTTTCTGAGTGTTTTAGGGTTCGGAAATCTCAACTATTGGTTCTAATTTCTAAGATTATGAAAGTTCATAACTTGCGATTACATTGCTAGAAAAGAAATTTATTAGCCTAATTTGATAATTGACTCTCATATCCCTAAAATTATACTGTTATGATTTTTCGAGATGATTTAATTAAATTTGGTTGCTAATGTATTGCACAACCCTTTACTGTTGAGATTGAACTATGAAATTAGGGATGAGCCTAACGAAAAAGTAATCATCAAATTAATACTGCTGTAGTTTGAATCAAAGCAGTTGGATGTGATTTTTTAATTGTTATTTGGTAAAGAGTAAATTTTGATTGATTGTTAATTGTGGTAGATAGGTGAAGATGGAAAACAAACATGGTAAGCATAGGACTGATAGGAGGCGTCGTAAGCGCATACATGTACCTCTTGAGATTCTATCTAGACTGCCAATCAAGCCTCTTGCCATATGTACTGTAGTGTGCAAGAAATGGAGGTATATTGTCTTTAATCTTAGGAAGAAATTTGAAGTTCCTGATTGTGGTTTGTTTTTAAGGTTTGCCCCTAATACACAAGATTTGGTGGGTTATTTTTGTTTTAAAACTAAGAAGTTTATCAACATACCAAAAAGTTGTGCCATTGATGGATATGTGGATGCTATTAATAGTGGGTATGATAAGGGGTTATTGACTAACTTATCATTCAATTTGGGACCTTTATTCAAGATTAACCCCTTGAATCCTAACCGGCAGGGTACTTTCTTCACTTTCTACCGCGGCTTACTACTCTTGGGATTATATGATGGTACTTATGAGGTGCACAATGTCGCCACTAACCAAGTTTACACTGTGCCCAAGTCACCTATTGTGACGCGATATGGTTCAAAAACCGATTGTAGCCGGGCGGGTGCCATTATTAAACTTCGATCTAAGAATCGTGTTTGTCGTTTTCTTGTTGTGAGATTTAGCCTTGAGTACCGCAAGTATGAGGTATACTATTCAGAAGATGGTACGTGGGTTGGATTTGGGTTGGAAGGGTATAACTTCAATGCTGCTCATAAGTTGCTTACGGATAACTATGCTGTCATCCTTATGGAATCCAACATATATATATATTTATTGACAAATAGAAACCATGGTGTAAGATTTGCGATCTTTGGACCTAAAACTAATCACAAGATAACATATCATACATTTTCCTTGCCAAAGCTTTTGAATAGGAAACATTTGAGCAAAAAATTATGGATATGTGACAAGACACTCCATCTATCCTATTATGATATTGGTACTCTCTGCATTTGGAAAGCTGGGGAAGAAATTCAAAGACGTGGTGCAACATCAGCAAGCTGGGTATGGATTCGCAAGCTTGTGATTACCAATACCTTGGAGTTAAGTATATTGCCTTTCATCAAGACAAATGCTCAGAAATACCTAGCTAAAGGTTTTGATGTCGGTCATAGTGTGGTGCCAGTCACTTGCCTTCGTGATGCTCCCGTTATCTTCCTTCTTGTCAACTCGACTACCATTTATGCATATAATTATGCGATTGACTTGTTGGACAAAATTGGTTACATTAAAGATTATGATAATATATCTTGTGTCTCTATATTTGAGCCATGTTTTAGCTCGTTCCCTACCCATGGTAGTTGAGCGATGTAAGCAGATTTTTCGTTTTCTTGTTTTACTTTTGTGTGTAGAGTTAAGTCTTTTTTGACATTATATTCTTTAATTGATCTATTGTTACTTTTTTCTTAAATTGTCCATTTTATCATGGTTATGTTAAGCCTTGTATAGAAACCAAGTAATAAATAGAGGAGGGAAAGAGACCGATTATTTAACAAAATCACCCATTAAACTGTTGTTTCCCTTTCTTCTCCAATCCACCCAAGGCCCATGACTCTAACTTCGACAAAAATGAAATTGAACTCATCTTCAATTTGTTGATTTAAATGCATTCAAAACCCTAATCAACATGAATTTGGTGCTCCACTAACTTGATTTGTGTAAATTTTAGAAGAAATTTGAGTAATTGGTAAAGAAAAGAGCTGTAACATCACAGCCACACTGCTACTACTCCTCACTACACGTGCTCCCACTCCTTGTTGCTTATTTTATTTGCCAAAATGAGATGTCACACTCTTCCTTTCTTATCCATTTCTTTCATAAAGATAGATTATAATTGATTTTGTAATAATTTAGTTGTTGCCTCTATTGTTATTGTTGTTGATGTTGTTATTGACAATGATGTCAGTGCTATTTCATGCATTATTGTTGTTGCCTGTTGGTGTGCTGTTATCGCTGCTATTGTGTTGTTATTGTGGGCTCATTTATAGACATAGGAATGTATATTTATGACAGGTTTAGTATATGATTCATAACATTATTGCTCAACTTGTGACCTGTATTCAAAGATTGGTTTAAGGAGATGAGTTGTGATGTAAATGAGTATATATACTCGTGTTTAGTGTATAATTTGTGGAAATTACGTGATTATAGGTAGATTTACAGAATCACTAAGGTGGAATAATTGATGCCATATAATCCCTTAGTTTCGGCATGTAACATATTCAATCATCCCTATATACTAGGATTTAAAGCTCTCTACAACTATGGTTTTTGATCTTTTGAGGCTATATCATTCCTCCGTATCATTCTTCCGTTCTTTTTTATCTTCCCATGTGCTTTTTATTTGGTCAAACTTTAAAAAAACCTTGACCATGTTATGTAAAGTGTAAGTAGGAAGATAATTAAGCATAAAGGGGTTATGGAGGAGTATTGGTTATACAGTACTTATTAAGGGCCGAAGTTCATAGATATGCATCCAATACACGTGTAGATTTAGGATTAAGTAGAGGTACCCTTTACTTGGCACAAATTGTTGAGAGGTTATTTAGGGTATTGGTTATACAGTATATAGGGCCCGAAATTCATAGATACTCATTAATATCGTTACATTTCAATCTGTGAAAAAAGAAAGTAAAAAAGTTATGTGCTGCTAATTAGAAGTAAATGAAAATTATTAAGGTATAAGAGGGACATGTATAGTTGTACAATCAAGTAATCTCATCATAATCTGTGAAAATTGTGTTCCATTTGTTTCTTTGAATTGTTGGACTTGTGATTCCTTTTATACATGTGGTCAATTGATTTTTCATATAGTTTTCATTACACTAATCATTATCTGTTAACAGTACCTTGCTCATTTTTCATATTGCTGAGGCTCTTTTTTCTGTATGTGTGCGCATGCTTGATTTTCGGACAAGGGCATATAATGTATTGCAGTCTGCGTGATCAAAATCAGCATAAATTATTCATGACTGCTGTAATTTTTTATTAAGAGATCGTTGTTCAGGTTAGATTTTTTTTTGCTGTCTGTCTAAGTGTCTACTGTCTAGTCTCATATTATTGACTTGCACTGAATCTCTTGTCTCCTGCCATGGTGTTTATTTTATTTATTTTTTTTTTTTTTTTGGGTATACATGGAATACGTCTGAAATGTTTACTTGAGCTTGAGCTTGAGTTGCAAATATGTTATTCGAGTTTTGTCCCATGATGGCTTTGATTATACATTATATACTTTCTTACTTCAGCTAGGTGCTAGGAGTAATTGGCAGTTCAAATAATTTGTCCCGTGTTTTTTAGCCTTATTCATAATTTTATTTTGGTAGTAACACTAAAGTTATAATACTTAAAAATAAGTAAATTGATAGTGGTTTATGGAACAAATTCTTCTTTACTCTTCAATTGACCGGATTGTATTTGAGCCTTGTTTTATTTCAACAATGCATCTAAGTTGTCGATGTGTTTTCAAAGCAATGGATGGAGCAGGTTGGTTATCAAACGATTCAGTGTTTGCTGGCCCAATTTAACTTGTTGATATTATCAATGCTTGCATCTCGCTTCTTTGAAGCAAAATTTGAGGTACATATATTAATTACTAATCTCTCTTAAGTACTTATAAAACTTTGATTTCTGAATATTTTAGCTTAATGATTGCCCAAATTTAATGAAGGATTTGATACTTTGTATGCATTGCTTCTCTAACTTGAAGCATATATTGACATTGATCTAAGTTTGGAAGGAATTTTAAGTATGGCTCTTTACTTAATTGCTATAATTACATCTTTTGTTGTTTTCTGTTTTCTGATATAATTGTAGAACAAGATATGACAGTCTAAATTTTTCCTTTTTTGTGGTTGTATTACTCTACTTGCTATGCACTAGAATTAGATATTAGTTATCAACACCCTTAAGACGAGATTTTTGTTTTCAATTCCGTTTAGTTTTGACTTTAGAATGATGTTCAAAATTCTCTTAAGAGTTTCGATAATCTTTTGGTTATTGCTTTTATATGAAAGAGTCATTATGAAGTAATAAATGATAACTTGCAAATTATGCTGCAACCTGTGATCGGAGAAAGAAAATTTTGACTTGTAGTTTTGTCAAACATAGGTCCCTTGATTCCGGAGCTTACAAATCACTATTTTGTTGGAAGATTGCAATTAATTAATTTGTGGCGGGCACAAATATTTGTACTAACTGAGATAATCAACTAATTTAACCTTGTCATGTGAAAATTTTTAAATTTCAAAATCGATTTCAAATAATTTATAACTCAAAATGATTAATTTGCAAAATCGATTTCAATTAATTTGTTTTAATTAATTTTTTTGGATTTGGGATGAATTTGAATTAGGGGTTCTTAGGTGGATTATTGAACCCCTAATCAGGTATATATTCTTCCTTTGAATTAAAAGTAAGTTATAATTTCTTTTTTAAATTTGCTAATTTCGGTTACAATATTTGCTCTTCTTCATCAATGGTGCCAACACCACTTCCTCTTTTGCCTTTTCTCCTCTCTTTTCTTCATCGGGTAACTAAATATCAATGTTATTATTGTTATTTTCAGGAAATTAGATTCACCTTAATTTTTAGGGCTTTCTTTTTGCTCGTAAGGCTAATAAAGAGTCCAATTTCATCGGTGATGACATTAATGTAAGGCCCCTTTTAATTTTGCTTTGCTTATTTTTTTTTTGGCTAAATATTTTTTGTGCTCTTTAATTTGACATTTGATTTCATGTCCTTGCTGATTTTATGCTTTTTGGACCCTTGAATCTTAATTTGGTTGATGATATTATTAGCAAGCTTTAATTTGTATTTCTTGGGTTATGGCTGTTGTGTTTTTGAATTGTTAAATGATTATAATGATCTGTGAATGTTTGGAGAAATGGGTTAGTTACTAAGTTGAATATTTGGATGTTGAAGAGCTGATATGTTTGGTTTGGTTTGGTTTGGTTTATAAAGGTTTGGAGTTTTGGACTTTGGATTATGATTTATGCTATTTGTTTTTAGTTGTGAAAGAGCTGGTTGTTTGTTTGAGTATAACACCTTATCTTTTTCTCCATTTTATTTAGTTGAATTGCTGATCTTGATTGATGGTATTAGTTGTCTTTGTTGCAACCAATGTAGTGGAAAGTGTGTTCTATTTAGATATGAAGCTTTTCATTAGTATTATACAAGCTCATTCCCAGTTTTTCATAACAGAGAAGTTTTGAGAGCTGACAACTTTGTAATTGTCCGTAATTATGGAAAATTGTACGCCACATATGTTGGTAATGTGAGATTATATGGGAATTACATAATTTGATTCTCCACTTGTCCATATTAGCGGCAGTATACAAAGGTGTTTTCAACCCTAATTTAAGTTTTCAATTTCTTTTTTTTTTTTTTTTTTTTTTTTTTTTTTTTTTTTTTTTTTTTATTGAAATGAATTCTTGTTGGTTCTTAAATATACTTCGCAATTCGCATGAATGTAAAAAATTCTTACTTTTCATGCTTTCCAAAACAGTAAGTTTTGGTATGAACTTGAAAAAAAAATATTGTGAAACTCCTAAATTTCTCTCTTTTTCTTAGTTCATCATTAGTTAGCCAAATAAGAAACTCTTTCCATTTTAACCAATCAAATCAAACTATCGACCACGACCTCCCTCTTTCCTTAATTTCCATTTTAAAGCACATTTAAAAACCAAACAAGGTGTTAGCTATCAAAACTCATCTCTTAATTTCTTTGATAGTTGACGTGTAGCAATTTTAAAATTTTCTTCATATTTCCTAACATATTACTTTAGAAGAAATAAGAAGATTGCGTCTTTTGTTTAATTCAGTGTCTCTCTCTTACCCATTAAATTTGTTTTGGAAAATAGTTTTGATAGTTTTTGTTTCTTACTCTATATTCATTCAGCCACATAGCTTCCATTGCTGCCGGAAACAATGGAATTCCTGTCAGATCTCATAGATATAAATTTGGAAAAGCAAGTGGCATGGCTCCTCGTGTCAGGTAAGAATCACAGACCTTGCTGCTTATGAATTGCTGTTAAATTTTACAGATAATTCTTTTATTATCATAAGCAAGTGTTGTCTCTCAGTTATTATTGCAAGCCATTATCTCCAATAATCATCAGAAATAGACTCACCCATCCAAGCCATCAAACCTCTAACAGCTAACAGGTTAACAATAAAAGAAACGAATAATCTAGAAATTTTAAAAATAAACTAATTATCGAGTCTAGACACATATCCAGTTGGAGTAGAATTGCTTAAAGTGAGAGTGATAAACAAATGTATACCAAAGTTCTTCATCATTGCCTGTTTCTTGTCTTGTTGTCACTAGTTACTCAGTGCAGTTATTCTTGAATTTGATGATGTCCCATTGATAACTTATTTTTGAAGATTTTTCAACAAGGCAAAGCATGTGATCTTGGAGGTCCTGTTCTTGGTGGCATCGCTCAGCGTGAGCATCATGTTTTCTGCAGCAAGTCTTACATGCCCCAACCTCAACTACGAGCCTTCAAGTATATAAGAAAGCTACAGATAACTGCTGGTAAATTGCTAGAATTTTTTTTTTTAAAAATTTTTTTTGGAACAATGTTATTAATCTGATCAGTTCATGGACAATAATTTACAATCAATAATCTGTGTTGTTTAGTGATCTAAAACAATAAAAATACGCTGCGTTACAAAATTTGACTTTAAACTACTTGATAACTGACTCAGGCCCTAAATTGAAGGGTGTAAGGAAAGGGAAAATTATTGAATCGTTCTGTTAGGGGAACTTTCTGGAGCTTATGGCTGGACCAAAGAGGTTGACTTTCGCTTTGTGTCCCTTATCCTGTCAAGAAGCAATGGCGTCAAGCTTACATCTCTTACGGAGTCTTTACTATGGTACAATATATGAATTCTTTTTTCAATTAAGCATTTTCTTCCTGTTCTGATTTTTTTATTCTTCAATTTATTATTGTCTTTTGCAATATCATAATTCAGATTTATTATAAAACATTTATTATTGTGGTTGTTAAATGTCAATATCAATATAAGTAAATAATGATAGGTTGTTTAAACACGAATCTAAAACCAGCCGGATGGAGTGACAATTATCTAATGAGTTACTGTGAATTACTGTGTGTTTTGGGATGCTCTAGCTTTGGTTGATGTATGCAATTGTCTGTTTGAATGCTGAAGTTTTGGTTGTGGCACAATCTACTCCAATGCCTCCTGCTACCTAAGTATTCATCTATTCATCCTCATTGTCCACTGGGAAAATTACAATGTGACAGTTTTTCAAGTGTTATACGGAGTCAGTTTTATTGATGTCTTTGGTTGGTTTGTGTTGTGGTAATTATGACCTGCTAACTCATCTGATGAAAAAAAATTGATAGAGAGTAAGTGACAAGTAATCTACAGCATTTAGTCATTTTATCATCAAATGATTTAAACCCCAATTTATCATTTATGTACACTTTCGTACCGAATTTATAATATTTCTGGCAATTAGAAATAAATAATTTAATTTTGAAAATCTTTGTAGACTGTACACATGCCGAATAATTTATCACGGGTATCATGATTGAAATAGTCCATTTCCCAAATTTTTGCAGTGATTAAATTATCACAGTTTATTTCAACCAGTTCAAGAACTATTCCCAACCAATTCTAGCCTGAAGAAATTTGTTGTTGAATTGATGTCGGAGGTGGTCTCTTTGATTAAGAATGCGATCAAGGAGAGATCCATTGATGGTCACAATACCTCTGTGGTTACATTTACTATTTATCTTTGTAGGTTTTTGTCATTGCTGTCTTCCAAATCAATAGTGCTAGGCAAATCAATTTTTAGTTCAATTTTATTTGCTGATTTATTAACTTAAATTAGCAAAAAAAACTGTAATTATGAATTGTATACTTGCTGCTGCTTGCATTCCATAATCCTCTTTTCGTTGATCCTTACTTTCTTAATCCTTGTCTCATAACTTGCCATTGTTCCCTGGTGACTTGGTGAGAATGCAGTGGATCAACTTGTGGAGATTATCAAGGATTCAAGGTCAGAATCTAGCATTCATATGAAATTGCCACAAACTCAGCTTTTGAAGGCTATCAAGGGCTGAATCTATATTCCGTGGAATCGTACGGTTTTTAAATTCTGTATTATTGGTTTTAAATTATGTATTATTGGTTTAGCTTCCTTGGTGCACCTTCTTTGCATTATGTGGTTTTCTGTAGCAATATAATCAAGAGACTCGGTTTGTCTTAAACGACAAGACAGAAAGCTGCATTAGAATAATAGAATATTTTAGCTATATGCTACAGAACTATGAAGTTACCTTAGGGGATGTAAATTCCTTGTAGTCAGAATGATATAATGTGAGCAATAAAACCCAATATTTGAGAGGCACATATCCTAAGAATGATGGTTTAATTCATATGTTCAAGATGAAAGTGGATAAAGTTATATGGGATATTGCGCATGTCAAGGTTTTAGTCAGAATTTTTAAGTCTGTTAGCACATATCACTGATGACTTAGGCACTTCCAGCCGTGTAATTGTGGATGCTCAACATCTTCTGCTCATTTATATGAGAAATAGTTGGAGAAAATTTTATTCAAATGCCGAGACAAAACGCCTGCTGTCTGCTTGACTCTACTATAACACCACATTGCAAATTTTTCTGACCGACTTAAAATTTTCTAAGATCAATCAATAATACTGATGCTGAATAAGACTATAAGAGCAGAACTACAGAAACAAGTGTGTCAGCTTACCTGAATTTATTAAGGCTGATGTGAGTTTTCTGTTTCTCTTGATCTCCTTGAGTTGCATGATTTGCTACACCTGTTCACATACTCTGATGTTCTTGACACTACATCTATTATTGAGGATAGCTTTGAATATCTTGATGCACCTATTGTGAGGATTGCTGGGGCCGACGTACCAATGCCTTATGCACCCATTCTTGAGAGAATGGCTCTACCACAGTTTGTTTTTACTGTGTATCATGTTGTGTTAATGCATATTGCTTTCAGATTTTAGGAATATTTGTTTGTAATTTCAAAAATATTACTTGTGTTCCTTGGTTGATATCTAAGGGTAGTTATTTAGCTCTGATTTTTGACGATCTTTTGGTGCTTTACTGATTGGATACTCCAGATTGAAGATATTGTACGTGCTGCAAAGTGGGCATGTTATAGAGCAATACCAAAGGCGGCGCGGCAGCAGCATAAGTATTACCATACCTTTCATGTATCTTTGAGGTAGTTTCTTTGTTTTTGATAGTACACTATATTCGTGTTAAAAAAAATAAATTAAATAAGGATAGTGCACTATCTTTTTTCTTTTATGCAATGCATGAGTTAAATTTCACGAGTACTTTTTTATTTTTAAGTTTAGCCAGCTTATATGTTTATTTATATATTTTGAGGATTTTTTTTCTGTTTTTACTAAAATGCTGAAGTGTTAAGATTTATGACCTTTCTCAAATTTGTAAGTAACTTCAGAAAATATACGAAGTACTTTTTTTTAAAAAGAAATTATTTGTTGTAATGTATGAATTATCTCATCGCTTTACATTGTAGAACTTATGTCCTTAGCTTTGTTTCTTGTGTGATTCAATTGTAATCCTAGCATTTTTACTTTGTAATTTAATTTCTTTTCTTTAAATGTCGTTTTCATTTTGTAATTATTTAGTTGTTTTTGCTGCTAGAAGGCTAAGAACTACCAATAACAGAAGAGAGAAGGAAAGCCTTTGTAATATGAATTATTTGGTTGCGGCTGCTGGAAATTCAATTCATAGCTTAAGTTCTGGGCCATAACTTGATTTCAATGATGCTGCCAGTCACGTAAGTAAAAAAAATTGCCTAAAAGATGTGAAATTAGATTAGTTTAGCTTAAGGGAGAGGTAGAGAGAAGGAAAACCTTTTATATAAAAATTGCATAAAAGATGTGAAATTAGATTAGGTTAGCTGAAATACTCTTTCGATGCACCTTGCACCCAAGCGTATACAAACATTATCAAGAGAAGAGAAGAGAAGGAAAAGGAGTGTAGGATTTGGAGGAGTAAAAAGAGGGAATGAGAAAGAGTATAATGTTTATTGGCTCGGGGAAGGTGGAAAGTAGGAAACTATAGATTTAGAGATGCAGGGTTTGGAAGTTTATAATGCGAGAGAGAGGTGGGTAAGCAAAGCTGTAATAAAAGGGATACAAGGCTAATTTTCTTATAATGGACACATTAGATTCCAAATCTTTAGCATGCCCACCTAGGGAAATCATATGGAAATCCATCTAATTGTTCTTGTTCGAGTAGAGTAAATATGATCTGATATATCAAAACAGTAGAGCTACCTGGAATAGCTTGGATGACTTCAATTGCTACTCTTGATCTTTTGCCTAGATTAATGACTCTGACTAACCTTAGTCATATCAATTAGTTTTAGTGATGGGCTCCTACCCCAAAGTTATTTGAAATTTTATATCAGGAAATCTCCCACTATTCTATTTGGAATTTGCCTAAGGGGAAGGGCATTATAGGTAATGTAATTTACTGATGCTAATAGTATTATGAGGAGGAGGATAGTCGGTTAATAGAGGTAAATGAGAATCAGAAATACTAGAAATAAAAAAGAGTAGGCAAAGAGAAGCATTTGTAATATGAAATTATTGTGTTAGCTTAGTTTAGCTCTTTGTAGTTAATCAGGCCACTTGAAAGCTTGACATTCTATCTTTATTTTGATGTAATTCAGAACAGTCAGTCAAAATATCTTTTTCATTTTCGCCTTTTTTTAATGGTAAGGGAGGATTGTAGATGGTTCTTGTGTGATCCAGCTCTTTATATCAGGTAACATATATTTAATTTGTTATATTAATCTCCTTTTTCTAAAAAAGGAAGTTCTATTGCTGTTGAAAGGGAAGGAAACTCTACAAACATTAGTCATAGTGAATAAGGCGTGAGTTTAAACCTGATAAAATGGTAGCACTGCAGGCCCAGGCTGTACAATGAACCTACTCAAAGTATGGTAAGCTAAAATCAAATATGCATCTTCAGTCAAGCTGGTAGCAAGCATTGTAAAATCTATCTCAGTATCTCATTACAGCTCACTATATATAGTTCATTAGCCTGTATCTAATTTTGTGCATGTGTTCAGTGTGGGTTGATTTCTACAAGCTGAAGATATTGGAATCGATTCAGAATTGTATCCAATGTTCTTTAGTCTTGAGCTGATAGGAAAACTGAGCGTCTTTGATATAGGGATGTCTGACTGTGATGTGCTAAGTATTAGAAACTTAACCTACTTGATTTACTGGTGCAGTATCGCTGCTAGATGGCTTCCTGTACAAATTTGTCAATTGTAATGTTTACAAAATCAGTGCAGTGTCGCCAGCATACTCATAATTTTGTATTTCGTAGTAGAGAAGCAGAAACAATTATTTAAGAATGCTGGAGAGAAGACTATTGAGTGGTTAGACAAGCTAGGAAATTCTAATGGTACTTTTCAAATATCCCAAATCCGTTTGAACATGCAACGAGTAATGCAGAATATTGCTACGATTCTTCGTACACAAAGTACATTCAAGGTATGGACGTATGGCAATGTTTGTGATTTTTGTATTAGGTGTTTCTCATTTTTAGAATTATTACTCATCTCAATATAATTCACCTTTTTGAAGCCATTGAGCTGAGATTGAGATTATTTGATTATTATTCATTCTTTTAATTTTTACAGATTAATAGTTTATTTTTTTACACCGTATATTGTAATTTTTGTTTTCTGATGGATTTTATCGACAGAGGAGAGGATATTCTTGGTATTGGAGTATTTTGATGGTGGTGAGTTGGTGACTTTGGAGCTTACATTCATAGGCATGGTAGAGTTACAGAACTGCTGCTAGGCACTTTATCAAACAGCTGGGTACAAGTTAAAAAAAAATTAAAAAATAAATTAAAAAAATAAATAAATCTTGCTTTAGTTAATAATTGTTGTTGTAAATATTAGGGTTTGTTATTTTTATATTTGACACAGTAAATATTACTCCATCTGTCCCTTAATATTGAAACTTTTGCTATTGTAGTCATTATTCAATTTGGTACTAGATTTAGGCCCTGTTTAGTTCGCCTTATATTTGCTTATTTGATCTGATCTGATCTGATATGAATGTCAGATTTGACCAAGCTTTGACCTTAAATATACGATAATCTATACGGAAAAAAATATATCAAGTCTTGTTAGATTCGTAATAATATGTATTTTATTAATATGGGATTTTTAGAATTTTTTTAATTACGAAATTAAAGATATTTAGCGATAAAAAACTGTTGATAAAACGATGATTTGATATGAACTTATTTTTTCTGATCTGAATTTATTTTTAAAGGTGAACTAAACAAGGCCTTAGTCCAAGTTTCATCCTCTTACTTTCTCTACCCTCCTTCATTCTACAATCTAGAAATAGTAATTTTTAAAATTCAAATGTATCTTTTCGTTTGACTCTATGCAATGTGCAAAAATCTCTCTTTATAGTGCTAAGAACACAAAATACTACCTCTGGTTCAATTTACTCGCAACAAACTCACAAATATTACCCCTTTGTTGCGAGTAAATTGAACTGGAGGTAGTAATAAAGGCGAGTGATAGCGATATATGTGTGAGCCAAATCAGGTAGGCTACTAACTAACTGGAAATATGCAAACTATGGGGTGGTATAGTAGTTAATGATTATGGTGATAAGAAGAGTTATTCAAGTGTAGGTGAACAATAAAATAATTGAGGGGCCGTTTGGTTGGGGGTAATCATGAAAGGGAATGAGAATCAACTGGCCCGATTCCCTTTGTTGATGTCTGTTTAGCACTTTCTTTCATTCCCTTTCCCCTCTTCATTACCCTAAATCCCTCTAAGTTCATTCCCCACCCTCTAGACTTTTTCATTCCCATTCCCTAGCCACCACCACACCACCACACCACCACCTTCCTACCTCCACACACTACCGAGAAACCCAACCACCGCACTACCCATTGCTTCGTCGCCTCTCCAACGACCTTCGTCGCGTCCCCAACAACCCTTGCCGCCTCTCCCCCTCCCCGTAAAACTCCCTTCTCCTCCCGCAAACACTAACTTAGCCCCTAGAAATCCCTCCCTTTCCTCGCAAAACCGCCGTCCAACCCTCCCCCACCCTCGAAACTGAAGAGAGAGGGATTTCTAAGGGCTGGGTTAGTTTCTAGGGTTTTCGGGGTTGATTTTCGGGGAAGAGGGAGCTGCATGCCCGGGGCCGGCGAAAGGCGGCGAAGGGCGGCAAAGGTACGGCTGGTGGCTTGGTGGACGGATGGTGGCTACAAAAAGTGGAAAGTGAATAAATTAGGTGGTTGTGTGGTGGTTGTGGGGTGGTGGGTGGTGGGTGGTTGTGGGGTGGTGGGGTGATGAGATTGTTTCCCTTTATTTCTAAAACAAACAACATAGAGAATATTGGGTATTTTTATTCCATTCTCTTCCATTCCCTTTGTTCATTCCATTCCGTTTACCCCGGGTGAACCAAACGACCCCTGATTGTTTAACACCAATTCGAGATGTTATGTTATAGAAGCTACAAGTGATAAGAAGAGTTATTCAAGTGAAAAAAGAATAACATTTGGAAGACCATATTTAAAGAATTGCTTAATGAAATATTTATGTAAAACAGTAAAGGACGAGTATAAGGAATGAGAAAAAGAAAGTGAACCGAATTGAAAAAATGCTGCTCCCTTCGTCCCATATTTACAGGCAATATATCATTTTGGGTGTCCCATATATTCCTCCTATTAGAGAATCTTTCTATAGTTGGACTACTTTTTTGGACAACAATACCCTCATCAGATTTTTAAGAAATAAATAAATAAATAAATAAATATATATATATATATATATATATATATATATATATATATATATATAAAGTAGTACTCGTAATTACTTACAAAGCATAATTGAAGATTTGATGTATATTTCCAAAAAGACATATTGACAACCATAAACTTAGGTAAAAAAAAAAAAAAAAAAAAAAAAAATCTTACCTTATTTGTGACATATGGAGGATTTTTTTTTTTTTTTTTATGAAAGATATTATGTATTTAGTACGGTTATTACAATATGATTATACTCCGTATATATTTCTCTTGTTTTTTAAAATTATGTTATACAAAGCTACAAGTTTCAACAATAAAATGCGAATATCATATCAACAAATGATACTTTTGTTATTTCCTTGAATGATTATGATTAGAATTTTTATCAATTAATACTCTATAACTGACTACGGATACTTCAATAATGCTTGCCAAGAACAACAAATGTTGATTATTCTTAGCTTAGTTTGATTTTATTTTTATTTTAATTTTTTTTTTACCATTTTTGTTGTTCCATTCAATTTTAATTTATTGAATATTACCATGCGTGGCACGGGACCTAACTTGGTAGAATTTAAAAGAGAGATCCGTAGAAAATGATAGAAGTTTAAAAAGTTAAGTAGATGCAACATTTGTACAAGAGAATGTGAACAAGGATTGAAAAAAAATGTAAAATTAGAAGATGAAAATTAAAGTAAATTTAGGGACGGACTATGAGTGTTGATATTCAATAGACAAATACCATATTTTGTTGTTTTGGATGTCATCGTAAATCGACTAGTAAGCTTATGTAAATTTTAGCGTATTAAGCTAGTTATAATATTTTATCTCAAATTAAAACTTAGATTTATATAAGCATTTTAATTAGTTGGATGATAATGAAGATGATATGACCATTACAAAAATCATGATAGTTATTTAGGAATGTATGACATAAGAACACAAAAATAATTAACAAAGGCGAGTGATAGCCATAGATGTGTGAGCAAAAGCCAAAAGGGAAGGAGTTAAGAACAAAATGACTTAATCCTATAGGCTTGTTTTTATAGAGTAAGACGTAAGGAGCTAATGCATTTAGAGGAAGACGTGAGATCAAATCTCAACACAACCTATTTTTTTTTTTTTTTGCTTTGTTATTTTAAAATTTAAATTAAAAGGCAATTATTCAATTTTTGAAGTAAAAATGTTATTAATTGAGTACTACAAAAGTGCTATCATTCGTTGTTTAAAAAAAAAAAGAGTGCTATTAATCATTTTTCCTATAACCCAAGGACGTGTTCCATTTACATAATACGATGTATCTATTACTCAAAATTATTGCATTTATTTGAGGGTTCATATTTAATCGGATGACATATATTTATAAGCCGTTATATACCATTTCATTAACAAAAGGTCAAAAGGGTCTAGTTTTGGGATTTGTTAAACATCGCCCACAAATTACTACATAAAGCCCACAAAATTTACTTGGTTTGACAATATTGCCCTTAACCTTAAAAAAAAAAAACACTCACACTCTCATCACTCACACTCTCATCGCTCATCTTCTTTCAACCTCTCTAAAAAAAAAAAAAATTTCAAACAACGGCAATGTCGAGGCGGCAAGGCAAGGAATTGGCGGCGGCGGCGGAGGGAAGGAGGTCCCAAGGAGGCAAGGTACAATTTGTAAAAAAAAAAAAAAAAAAAAAAAAAAAAAAAAAAAAAAGGAAAAACCGCCGTGACGGAGGTGGGGCGCCCTGGCTGGACGCCCAGCCAGCGGTGGTGGCGCCAGCTGCAGACGCCGCCACCAGTGGGCTGGCGCCTGGGCTGGACGCCATAGCCACGGTTGTGGCGTTTAATCAAGGCGCCGCAGCCGTGGCTATGGCGTCCAGCCCAGGCGCCAGCCCACTGGTGGCGGCGTCTGCAGCTGGCGCCACCGCCGCTGGCTGGGCGTCCAGCCAAGGCGCCCCCCCCCCCCTTTTTTTTTATATTTGTTTTAAAATATTGTTTTTGTTTTTTTTTTGTGTAATATCTTTTTGAATTGTTTTTATATTTTGTTGTTTATTTTTATAAATTTTTTCAATTTTGTTGTGTTTTTTCTATGTTTATATTTTGTTTACAATTATTTGTTTGTTTTTTTTTGTACATTTTTATTTTTATTCTCTATTTTGATTTGTTTTTATATTTTTTTTGTGACTTTGATATTGTTTTTGGTTAGTTAATTTATTTTAAATTTTATTATTGATATTGTTTTTGGTTAGTTAATTTATCCTACCCCAGTGCACGTAGGACGCACGACGCACAACTGAGTGCTTATGTTTTTCTACTCCTCGGATGTACCTTGTTTCCGGATAAGAGCGGCGGAAACAAGCTCAGGCCACGCGACATAGTAGAGGCGTGTGACCCCGACAATGTAGGCCAGTTTTCCTGGGGATCGGCTACGTTGGCGTATTTGTATCGCCAACTAGGATTTGCGAGTCGGGCTGACGCGGCAGGTATCACTGGGTGTCTGACTCTATTGCAGACCTGGATATACGAGTACTTTCCTGCATTGCGACCACATCGTGACTCGGTTCCTATTGATGAGGGGATGCCGCGTGCTTGTGCGTGGAGTCCGCGCTCGGAGAAGAAGTCCGTTGACCGCCTCCGATCGATACGGTTATTGCTGGACAGGCTGTCCCCCTTAGAGGTAACGTTTATAAATTGTTTCTACATTTTATTATTTGCACATATTATATTCATGTTATTAAATTTTAAAACTATGTGCGGGTGAACTGGATGCCTTTCGGCCCGAACCCTAGTGTTAGGGTACCCATGACCCTGTACACGGGACTCATTCAGTATCGTGAGATCGTCGAGGCGTACATGCCCCAGCGTTGTCTTCGCCAGCTTGGATTTGTCCAAGTTGTCCCTCCTCCCCCGGCATGCCCGATGAAGGCGATCCGACCTGCATCGTCGAGGGACTACGTCGTGCAATGGCCGGATATCATGACCGGGACGTGGGACCAGTTTCCGATGGTGGCCCGCTTATGGACTGCGGAGTTGCAGCGGCCGCCCTCTGGGGTTCCTCCCATGTGTGACCATTACTACATGGAATGGTTCAACCGGTATTCGCACCCGAGGTTGATCGCAGATCTCAACCACAACGATGATGATTATGTGCCACCGCCTACTGCCATGGAAGCGGTATGTCTCATATTATATTTATCGTTGTCTTTTAATTAAGTTTTATATGTTGTTATTGTATTTCATCTTTTGTTTTTTGTTGTATGCAGTGGATGGGAAAGATAATGCAGGACGTACAGAAACTCTCTCTTGAGAAGGACAGCATGAGTGCATCAGGGAGAGTTGTTGTTGATAGTCTGGAACAGACCCTTGCGCAGTGGGAGTCGTCGTCGAGGAGGGATTACTGATGGTTTTGTCATTTTATTTATAGAGCACTTTAAATATTATCGTTTAATTTATTAAATTGGACATTATGTTGTAAGTTTGTAACATTTTAGATTGGTCTTTTAGCTTCCAGCTTAAACATATTATCATTGCTGTTTTTAAATTTTGATATAACCGTTCGTGGATCCGCGCAAATTTTGATATACTATCATCTCATGGTTGTGATACCCCCATTTAGAGTAACCAATCACTTCCCAACCGTCACGACTCCGTAGTTGTCGAACCTTTACTCTGAACTCACACCCACAACCTTTCCGCTTTGTATCAAACCGAGTGGCTGTACGAAAATCTCTGTCTTCTCTTTTGCGATAACGGTCACATCTCAAAATGCGATCCATTCTACCATCCCGTTGAGATTTATGAGTTACTACTACCAAGCAAAATCCAGCTGCAATTGCAACCTGTTTTGCCCAATCAATCGCCTGTTGAGCTTCTTCGAATGGACCATCATGTCCAAATATCCCACTGTAATCATTTCCGTCTCCACCATAATCCTGCATCAATTATATATTACAATAAATACATTTAACATATAATACATTTAATTTCTATATTTACACAGAATTAACACAAAAAAAAAGCATAATTATGTATAATCAAACTTAATTTTTATAAAAACCCAATTCGAATTTTCAAACTAAATTTAAAAATATACCATTTCGAATTTTCAAACTTAATTTTAAAAAAAACCTATTTCGAATTTTCAAAATTAATTTAAAAAAAAACCCATTTCGAATTTTTTTAAAAAATCATTTTCGAATTTTTTTTTAAAAAAAAAAATTAAATAAAAAACAAAAACAAAATCAAAAAAGAAAAAAAAATATATATATATATGAGGGTGGCGTCTGCCAGGGCTGGACTGGCGCCTGGCAGGGCCGCCGCAGCCAGTACAGTGGCGCCTGGCCAGGACGCCAGTCTGGTGGTCTGGGCGTCTGGGCTGGACGCCACTCTGGTGGTTCTGGCGTCTGGCTTGGACGTCCAGGCTACGGTTTGGGCGTCCATCCTAGGCGCCGGAGCCACTCCGACGGTAAACCGTCAATTTTAACGGTGACTTACCTCGTTTTCCGTCGACGACGACGTACCTCCGGCGTCCCCCACATCTCCGGCCTGCCCTCCGGTCTCCCCCGGCGAGCCAGTACGGCTCCACATTTTTTAAACCGAGATTATTTCAATTTTAGAAAATGGGCATAATGGTCACACCAAGTCATATTTGTGGGCTTTATATGGTAATTTGCGGGCGATGTTTAGCGATTCACCTAGTTTTATCTCAACTATACATGATCTCCATGGTGACCCTGTTTATCATTAATCATTATACACAATAGAGTATATATACAATGTACATCTTAGGGTTGAAAACCTAATTAAGTAAACTAAATATTATAAACAAATATATACGAAGTAACAAATATACGAAGTCTATCACACCCCATAGTCGGAGAGCCTATTATTTACACCCGGGTAATTTGCTCATTATTTTTTTGCTTATTTAATGAATGAACACAAATTGAGCAAATAACACGGGTGTACGATACACTCGAGTGTATATAACAAATTCTACGTAGTCAGTCGAAGCAGGAGATTCTCGAAACTAAAAAAGGCGCGTAAACTAATTAATTAATTAATAAAACAAACAAACAAATTCAATTTCAACAAAAGGAGACTACGTTCAATCGCAACAAAAGGCAGCACAAATAAAACTCAAAAAATCGCTATAAATAAAATCCTTCGCTCTCTACAAAACAGAAATCACACCTATTTCCAATTCTCTCTCTACCAAACAGAAACAAAATCAACTCACTTACTGCATTTCTCTCTCTGTAGCAATGGAGGTAAACGTCGCTAAATCGGAGAAGAAGGCGACAATGGAGGAAACTAGCGTCGCTGAGTCGGAGAAGAAGAAGACGACAGTGGAGGATACTAGCGTCGCTGAATCGGAGAAGAAGACTACAATGGAGGAACCGAACTCCAGCAAAGTTGCTACAATTGGTGAAGAAATTGAGAAGAAGAAGATGAGCTCTCAAGAAATCTTGATGGAGGAGGAGAAGAAGACTACAATGGAGGAACCGAGCTCCAGCAAAGTTGCTGCAATTGGTGAAGAAATTGAGAAGAAGGAGATGAACTCTCAAAAAATCTTGATAGAGGAGGAGAAGAAGACTACAATGGAGGAACCGAGCTTCAGCAAAGTTGCTGCAATTGGTGAAGAAATTGAGAAGAAGGAGATGAGCTCTCAAGAAATCTTGATGGATGAGGAAAAGAATATTCAAGAAATTTCTATGGTGGAGAAGCCAAAGAAGAGGAATGCGAACCCTAAAATGAAGGAAAAGAAGAAGAAGAAGAGGATTCGAGTTCATGTTGAAGATGAATATGACTATTGAACAACAAGATTTCAACTATCCTGACGAGGACGATCTGGATAGTAGAACCGATTATGAGCCCGACACTGAGGACGATTCAAATGATGAAAACAGCTCAGGCAATTCAGATGAAGGAAGCGGCAATTCAGAGGACAACAACAATTCTGAGGAATCTGTTTAACCTGCTGGTGATGAAATCTGTGAGAAATTCTTGTTGATAATACTGTTTTGTGGTGAATATTCTGATGATAATACTCAATAGTGAATTGTAGCGTAAGTTTGTTGCAATTCTTAAGTTTCGCAAATGAAATGAAATTAGTATGTGAATGATATACTCAATAGATTGTAAACAGTAAGTTTCGCTTTCGCAAATGCTATATTAGTATGTGGTCTAGGTAGTGTGAATAATAGCATATTGAATCATATTTGATTCATTGACTAGTAGTGTTTGGGTACATGATAAGTGTAATTTCAGTATTGTGGTTTTTGATATATGATAAGTGTAATTTCAGTATTGTGGTTTTTGATATATGATTGACAATCTAAAGTCAAATACAATATTAGCGGCATAATCATGAGCTGTAGCTATGCCTTGATTTAAGGAATTCAATTCCATTATGATAGCTGTAATTATTCCTTTGATATTATCCTCCTTGATTCAAGAGGTTGTAATCTTGTATTACCGTATTTAGTTAACTCTTGTACTACTATATATACTTTGTGAATATTCAATGAGAAAAGTATCCTTCTTCCATCACTCTTTATATTGCTCACAAGCCGTAAAGAGTTATATTTTGTAAGAAGTCGAGGGATTTCTGTTTTAATTCCTTATGGCAGTTATGTGGTTACAAGTTCTGTCTTTGCAAGTCTCTGAAACAACTTCCTTATTTGCACTTTCTTCTTAAAGTTAATTACCCTCCCAGATTTTGCTACAGTGTGAATGTGTGATGCATATTGGTTTGTTGATGTTTCTGTTTTAAGTAGTCATGAGATTGCAAAGTGTGGAGCTATAGATTTTGTTTTAAAAAAAAAAATTGATCAGAAGTTGGGTTCCTTTCATCCAATTTGAACCAGATCACTATGCTTTGTCAGCTCTTGGACGTCAATCTTAAGTAGTCATGCATACCAACAATTTCAGGCATTCAAGCTAAACTATTAAGAGTGTCAATTGATTTGCTAATAATTAATCTCCAGAATCATGGTACAATTTTCCTCCCTATTTGAGGGACTGGCAAAGAGTGTTTCATCCAAAGGCAGGAACACTAAGAATGATGAGGGAAGTAGAGCTACTGAGTCCTTGGAAGATGAAGCAAGGAAGAATCATCTTATCTTAAGATGTCCTGGTGTAACAACTTCGAGGTCCAATGTTGCTGCATCAGTTCTTTCCAAGAAAGGGGAGAAAGGAATTAATCAAGATTGCTTGACAATGTGGAAGGTACGTTTACAAGTTAATTGTTAGGAATTTGTAGTTGGAGGGGAGGAATATTACGAAGTGATCTCATGCTTTCGGCCGGTTCGAGTAGGCTGGCAAAAACTTTTTTGTTTTTCTGTATCCCACCCAACCAGGCCAATCTAAATTTGGTATAGCCCCAAACAAAATTAAATCACATGGGGAAGTCACTTTTAGGCTATACTAAATAATTTCCGAGTCATGCTTAAGTTTTAAAATTAATAGTAATTGAAATATAGAAAATTTTAGAGAAATGTAAATATGCAATCAATATGAGTGATGGTTACTTTCTTAATTTGAGTAATTTGATGGTTTCTGAAGATATAATGGATTATATCTTATAGGTTGAATAGATGCATTCACTAGCTATGTTAATCTACCGGCATGTGGTTCAAGATGACAGAACCTTTGCTAGAGCTGCTGTTCCGAGTGGTGTATTCACTGGTGAGTTCTCCTTTTCTGTAACAGAGGCTTCTAGCTTATTGATTGTAGTTAATCTTGCTCGTATGATTTCAGTTGTCTAACTGCTGTGAGAATATAGTTTCCTCATTGTTTAGTAATAAAGTAACATATTTTTCCTGGTCCATCGGGATTTCTGATTAATCATAGATATATGCCCCAATTCTGTAGTCTTTAATATGATCACATCTTTCATATATAGCTCCTACTGGAAGGATAAGTTGTAGAATTGTATGTTCTTGTTGCTTTTAAAGTTTTAATCTGATCAAGAGATCTCTGAATATTATTTGCGAAATTAGGTGTATTCCTTATCAGTTTTTTTTTTTAATTTTTTTTTTTTTTTTTTTTATATATATTACCTCAAGAGTTTTGAAGACGAAAATTTCAACTCTGGTAGGGATCAATCATCGGTTTTACATATGAATTAAGATCTGTTCAGCTTGAAATAGAAATTTAGGTGGTGGCTACTTAGGTTTTGTAAAATTGATTAGTATATTCTCCTCCCCAAAAATAAATAAATAAATAAAAAAAAAAAAAAAAAAAAAAAAACGTGTTTAACTGTGCTTCATTTCCCTGTCAGTTTATGATACCTGCTGTATTTGTACTTGCATTACATAAAAATATATGTTGCTGCTAAGTTAGGGAACATGAACTAGGTTTATTCTGTGATTTGCTGACTTTTTAAGAGGTACTCTCCTGACCTTTTCTCATGCATCAGTGTCTTAGCCTACATTATTTCTCCTGCACAAGGAGTTACTACTTGCATTGCTTCTGCCAGGTTTGCATTTGAACTGCTTGGTCTGTTTAGAATGTGTTTCTTTAACCCTTCTACAACACATGCACTGGTTTACTTTGGTTATCCTAAATGCTTGCATAATGTCTAAGGGTTAATTAATTAGTTGACGATGGAATTGTTATGATTAAATCTCAGTTTTTTTGAGATAAGGTATTATATAGCATTTGTAGATGCATACTTTTTTATACTGATTTTCTTTCATTTCATTAAAGCAGATTGCTTTTAGCTTTGTTTTTCCTCTTGACTGATTTGATTAATTTGAAACTCAGGTGGTTGGATAGATGGAGAGGTTATAACTTTAACTATTGAGAAAACAAAAGGCTAATACACATATACCAAAAATTGTCTGTTGTTTGACCTCCTATTTCATTTTGAGAGACTGCTATGTTGTGTGTTTTTGTAAATCTGATAACCAAAGATCTTGCTTTTAGATTGCTTTGTCTCCGCAAACAATACTTGACACCTTTACGTCCATGGTTTACCTATAACATGCTACTTTCTCGTAATATCTTTGTGGGGTGTTGACTTATGCCTCACTTCTGTGTCAGGATGAAAATAGATGCAATGTAGGAAAATGCTCTCATCTCATCCTCAAACATGCAGCGAAAGCATGAACAATAGTTAATAAGCTTCCAGGTAAATATTATTACATTACGCTGTAATCCAACATCCAAGCATAATTGTAATGGTTGGATTATGAAATCTTCATTTAGTTTGTATTTTCTGAGGACCAATTTTATGAATTTATTTCACAAATATTTGGTTGTTTATGTAGAGCATGAGGTTAAACCAGATTGGTTACACATTTGAGGTTCATCAGTTTAAATTTCTCGTTAGTCAACATAATATTTAGAGATTTAGTTGAGATATGATTCTTGTAGAAGATGGCTAGGCACCATCCTCATCTATAGAATTGTGAAATGTAGGCTCTGATTGCTGAGGTAGGTTGCTGTGGGGTGACACACTGATAATATGGGGAAAAATGTTTGCTTCTTTGATGACTGGGGAACTCATAAGTCATAAGCAGTGGGATGAAGTTACGCAATGTTGTGCAAATTGAAAGGTGATTTTTCGCTGATGCCAATCACATAGTTGTTTGTATACATAACTATTGAGAGCACTGACTACTTAACTTTTTGGATCACAATCTTGTCACATTCCAGGCACAATTATTTGACAAGGGATACATATCGAATGCCTTGGCAAGGGCTGGCCTAGGCATGGAAACAGATGGCAAGGGAAGCAGGAAGGGGGTAATTCATAGGGATTTTGATTCTTGCAAGTTTTTTACAGGTACAAACTTCTGTAATAATTATAGAACAAACTGTCTGTAAGTTAAGTAGAATAAACCCCCCTCCCAGTGTGCTTCATGGTGCAAGAAATCTGCTTGATAAATAGCTCGTTGTTTTATAGTTACTGATAATCTCTTTGGTTGGTTAATTGTTTGATTTATAGGTCGATATTCAAGAGTACATATATGGACATTGTAGCATACCGACACTTAAGTAAAGAAGTGGACTCACACACAGTAAATTGCTGAAATGACCATTGCAGTTGACATACAGCCGCAAAAAATTGAGCCTTTTATGCTCTGGAATGCTCTCTTGCAAAAACTTTATAGGCTGCTTATATTAGAATTAGCTCTAATTCACCAACTTCAGGTAAAAGACTATACAGCAAACTAGCAAAGCGTGCAAAGATGTATGGTAGCAGCTCAGAGGCTGCATCCAGTGAGAAGGATGCTGAGGCTTGAAGTAGTGGTTACATGCATCTCAGAGTTGGAAGTGAGATAGCCGATAAGTTACTGCTAGAATGTGTATAATATGATTGCCACCTTGTAGTATTAAATGGGTATACTTTTGGGCATAGTTGTCTTGAAGACTCGATTCAAAGTTACCTTATGCCTATGTTAATTAACTTTGCTGTCACTGATTCAGGATGATGATACTAATCCAAGTTTTTTTCCCCCCCCCCCCCCCCCCCCTTTTTGATGATAATGAAGAAAAACATATTTGGAACTAAAGATTTGTATCATTGTGAGAGCTGCTCGTGTTGGATGCTTGATTAACCTGTAAAACATGAAATTAGCTTTGTAAGTGGAACCTGTATTGTGTTTGGTTGTTTCTTAATTGTCTACTTCGGGCATAGTGTTACTCCAAAATTCAGTAGCATTAATTATAGCTAAAACCTAATCATTTGCTACAAAAAATGGTCAAACTAGCAAAATTATAACAGTTTGTTAATTGTTAACAAATTAAAATCTAATCCTTTGCTACAAAATAGTCAAACTAGCAAAATTATAACATTATAAAGAACATGATAATTTAATGTAATAAACATTATTTTAGAACATTTCAAAATAAACAATAAAAGTACACTAGATGAAGCCCGTGCGATGCACGGTTTGTTTAATTTTTAAAAATTATTATTATATATATATGTGCTAAAATTTGTTATATATTTAGATAAAATTCCTGATATCAAAAGATAATATTATTCTATATTTAATTAATTTAAACTAGGAAATCTCATTCGCCAATTTTGCTTACGTGTCATTTAAATTATTTAATTTTAAAAGAAATTAATAATCTCGTATTTAATTGGCTACCACTAAAATTTATTATCCTACGTGGCGCACTGAAAAAATTAAATCCTACATGGCTCTCTAAATCCTCGGCAAAAACTCCCCTTTATATATATACTAGTTTTGTACCCGTGCGATGCCCGGGTTGTTTTTTAAATTTTAAAATAAATTTTTAATCTTTATACGATTTGCTAGATTGTGAACTATATTATTTTAACCGATTAATATATATTATAAATGTATGTTTTACTCTTTGAACTATTTCCTTTGTCCAAAAAATATTATAATACAAAAAATAATTTATTTGATAATTTTTGAGAATTATAATCTAATAATTTTTTTAATAAATTATAATTGAATTTGTACATTTGAAATATTGGTATTTTATCCAAATAGAATTCTAATTTAATTTTTTTTATCTTATGAGGTTTATTTAAATCTATCCAACGTGGCGCGACACTTGGCGAAAAGTTATAACGCCAAGTGTCGCTGTCTCATGACCTGGCTAAAAGTTTAGCTATATATATATATATATATATATATATATATATATATATATATATATATATATATACACACACACACACACTGACAAGCATGTTATGTCCTTTACATTCTAAATCCTCGGGCAAAAATTCTTTTTATTAATTTTTTTTAAATGGTGCACATGAGTAGCAAGCCCCAAAAGAAAAACAAAGCAAAAACTAAAAAGAAAAACAACAAAAATAGAAGCTACTAACTACACCCCTCTAAGTAAGTAGTTCGATCTGAAACCATCCTAATACAAGCCACACCAAGCCAGGCCACATAAATCCTTCTATAAAACGACACCAAGATTCGAAGGGACCGCCTTAAAGAAAATAAACTTCTGCTCCATTGTAACACCAAAGTTAGCAAGCTAATCCGCATCACTTTTAAGTTGTTATGTTGTAACTATATTTAGCTAGGTTGTTAAAAGAAAGTCAAACTAAGAACAATCAAACTTAACAAAATAATAAGAACAATATGTAAATAAATCACTAATCAAATTAAGAACAATCACTAAACAAATCAAATTCTTCATCATCATTGGATTATACTAAGAAATCAAGCTTTTTTTTTTAAGACAAAACAAGCTAAGTAATCAAGCTAATATCAAATCAAACTAAGTAATCAAGCTAATTATCAAACTAATCAAGTCAAAACTAACAAAATCATGCAAATAACTTGATCATCAATGAAAACTTAGAACTAATTATAAAAAAAATTAAAAAAAACAAATGGGAAGACAAAACAATGGTGATTTTCTTTTAATATTATAAACAACGGAAAAAAGTCTAATGTGTTATAAATTAACCCCTAATATACTAACAGGTTAGTAGAAAATTAGTAAATCATTATAATTGATTCACAGTTTATTTACATATTTTTTTTACTGGATAAATAATTGCTTGAATTGAGTTTGATAATTAATATTAGTGAGGTTACAATTAGGTTCAACAACACAGTTTCAAAAAAAAAAAGGGTCCAACATCATTAATTAGGAAAGATGTTGGCCGCCATAGGAATAATGCGGGGGAGGGAAAAAAAATTAAGTTGAAGGAACAACCTGCTCAAATAATACCATGAAAGGGTTAAGATTGATTGTATATAATTCACAAAGAATTACATCATTAGGAATGGTGTACCGCTGGTAAATATAATTAGAGAGGGTGTACTTTTAACAAAAGTCGGGGTGTATTAACGAAAATTTTCCTTATATTTATCATAATTGTATAGATATTACACAATTTGAAGTTAGTGTTTTCAATATAAATAATTAACTCATCGCAAAAATAAAATTTTAATAATTAACAATAAAAAAAAAGTTTTAAAAAAAAAGATAATAAAAAGTCAAGATTCTTCGTGAATAGTTTGAGTTCAGCTCGGTCAAACCTCGACTCGTAAAGTTGTGCGTGAACTCGACTCAAATTCGAATAAACTTAAATAAACATGAGTCAATCTGACCATATATAGTTCGGGTCCGGCTCACCCGATTAGCACCCTTAGGTGTAGCCGTATAGGTATTATTCCCTCCGTTTTAAATACTTGCACAACTTTCCTTTTTATAGCTGTTTTTAAATATTTGCTCCATTTCCTTATTTGGAAACCTATTACAATAATTAATTCATTTCTCTCAACTAGTGGACCCAACGTAAATCATATTTTATTAATTACATATTTTCTCTCTTCTAATTCTCTCCACTACTTTTGTTTTTTACAATTTTTTATTCTTCCACCAACCTCACTGCCTCCATATTTTTTTTACTTTCTCCAATTTTTCTTAAAACTCCGCATATGGCTTGGAAAAATAAAGCAAGTATTTATATTTAAAAACAGATAGAGTAATACTGTAATAATTAACCATAAAAAGACCCAAGCCACTTACTTATTGGACAGATCTGACCCATTTATGAATGGACAGGTTAGGGCTTTTATTAATGGCCCATTGAAATGTTGTGAATAAATAAGGAGAAAAAAACCTGATGAAATGCACTTAACATCTCCATTGAAGCGCACTCATCAATTCATCTTCATTGCACTCCACGTTCTCCATTTATGAGGTAAGTTGTTGTTTCTTTTAGTATTCATCATATCAATTTCACAATCTGGGTTCATCTTTCATCTAATTGAATTTAATTGTCAATGCAATAAGTTTAGGGTTCGAAATTCTCAATTATTAATTCTATTACTAAGATTATGAAGGATCATAACCACCGATTATGTTGCTAGCAAAGAAATTTATGAGCCTAATTTGATAATTGAATTTCATATTCCTAAAATTATGTGATTTTTCCAGATAATTGAATCATATTTGGTTGCTAATAGAAAATCTCAAATATTGGTTCTACATACTAAGTTTATGAAAAGTAATCATCAAATTAGTACTCGTATTGCTTTAGTTTGAATAAAAAAATAAAAGCAGTTAAAGAGTAAATTTTTATTACGTGATAGTTAATACTCGTGATAATTTTTTTTACTCACTTTTGAATATGTTACTCCCTCCGTTACAGGTTATGGGCAAAGGCAATGATTAGACATTTTCCCTTTGTGCTTTATGTAAAATCGTTGCACATAACCTGTATTTGAGGTAGTATTTGGTAAAGAGTAATTTTTTATTGATGGTTAATTGTTAATTGTGGTAGATAGGTGACGATGGAAAACAAACATGGTAAGCGTAGGAGGCGTTTTAAGCGCGTACATTTACCTCTTGAGATGTGGCTTGAGATTCTATCTAGACTGCCAATCAAGCCTCTTGCGATGTGTACTGTTGTGTGCAAGAAATGGAGGTATATTGTCTATAATTTTAGGAAGAAATTTAAAGTTCCTAATTGTGGTTTGTTTTTAAGTCTTGCCACTAACACACAAGATTTGGTGGGTTATTTTTGTTTTAAAACTAAGAAGTTTATCAACATACCAAAAAGTTGTGCCATTGATGGGTATGTTGATGCTATTAATAGTGGGTATGATAAGGGGTTATTGACTAACTTATCGTTCGATTTGGGACCTTTATACAAGATTAATCCCTTGAATCCCAACAGGCAGGGTAGTTTCTTCACTTTCTACCTCGGGTTGTTACTCTTGGGATTATATGATGGTACTTATGAGGTACACAATGTTGCCACTAACCAAGTCTATGTTGTGCCCAAGTCACCTATTGTGTTGCTATATGGTCCAGAAACCGATTGTAGTCGGGCGGGTGCCATTATTCAACTTCCATCTAGGAATCTTGTTTGTCATTTTATTGTTGTGAGATTTAGCCTTGAGTACCACAAGTATGAGGTATACTATTCGGAAGATGGTACTTGGGTTGGATTTGGGTTGGAAGGGTATGACTTTGATGATGCTGCTCATAAGTTGCTTACAGATAACTAGGGTGCTGTCATTTTTATGGAATTCAGCATATGTATATATTTATTGACAAACAGCAACCATGGTGTAGGATTTATGATCTCTGGGCCTAAAACTAATCAACCGAAAACATATCGTATAATACCCTTGCCAAAGCTTTTGGATGGGAAACATTTGAGCACAAAATTAATGGTATGTGACAGTACACTCCATCTATCTTATTATGATATTGGTACACTCTGCATTTGGAGATCTGATAAAGAAATTCGAAGACCTGGTGCAACATCAGTAACCTGGGCATGGATTCGCAAGCTTGTGATTACCAATACCTTGGAGTTAAGTATATTGCCTTTCATCAAGACGAATGCTCAAAAACACCTAGCCAAAGCTTTTGATGCCGGTCATAGTGTGGTGCCACTCACTTGCCTTCGTGATGCTCCCATTATCTTCCTCCTTGTCAACTCGACTACCATTTATGCATATAATTACACTATTGACTTCTTGGAGAAAATTGGTGACATTAAAGATTGTGATGATGTAGCTTGTGTATCTATATTCAAGCCATGTTTAAGATCGATCCCTACCCATGGTATTTGAGCAATGTTAGCAAATTTTTTGTATGTAGTAACTACTAAAGGTATAATACTTTAAAATAAGTAAATTGATAGCGGTTCATGGAGCAAATTGATGTTCTTTTCTCTTCAATTATCAGTGCTTGCATAAATTGAGGTATATATATTAATTACTAATCTCCCCTGATTGTTTATTAAATTTAGATTTCTGATTTTTTTTTTTTTCCTTTTACGCTTAATGATTGCCCAATTTTATAAAGGATTTGATACTTCGTAATTTGTATGCATTGCTTCTCTAGTTTGAAGCATTTATCCATATTGATCTAAGTTTGGAAGGAAGTTTTAGTATGTTAATTTACTTTATTGCTTTATTTAGATCTTTTGTTGTTTTCTGATTTAATTGTAGAACAAGATTTGACAGTCTAAACATTTAGTCAACTTGCTAAGCACTAGAATTAGATATTAAAGTAAAACAACTGTATGTTTCAAAAAAAAGTAAAACAATTGTAAATAATTATCCTAGTCGTAGTTAGTTACATATGATAATTTTTGCATAGTCAAATATAGTTAGCATTCTTATCACTTAAAGTGCTTTTTTTTTTTTTGTGCACCCAAGTAGCAAGCCCCAAAAGAAAACAAAGCAAAACTAAAAAGAAAAACAACAAAAATAGAAGCTACTAACTAAACCCCTTTGAGTAAGTAGTTCGATCTGAAACCATCCTAGTCCAAGCTACACTAGGCCGCATAAATCCTTCTATAAAACGTCACCAAGATTCGAAGTGACCTCAAAATAAACTTTGGCTCCATTGTAACACCAAAATTAGCAAGTCAATCCGCATCACTTTTAAGTTGTTATGTTGTAACTATATTTAGCTAGGTTGTTAAAATAAAATCAAACTAACAAATTAATAAGAACAATATGTAAATAAATCACTAATCAAATCAAATTCATCATCATTGGATTGATTATACTAAGAAATCAAGCCTTTTTTTTTTCTTCTTTTTTACAAATCAAGCTAGTTATCAAACTAATCAAGTCAAAACTAACAAAATCAAGCAAATAACTTGATCATCAATGAAAACTTAGAACTAATTAAAAAAAATTTAAAAAACAAATGGGAAGCCAAAACAAAGGAAGAGACATTGGGTAGCCACATAATCAAAAAGTAGACCCCACAAAAATCAGAAATCAAACCCACTATCTATCCTCACCAAGATTACATTTACATCACTCACTCAAACATTACTTGGTTCAATTTCAAACACCCACTTCACTAGTTCACTCCTCCTTTCTCCAATGGCATCCTTAGCAACCACCACCACCCTTTCCCTGAACCACCTCACTCGCAACAACCCCACCACCACATTCTCTCTCCACCCCCACAAACGCAGACTCACCCCACCACCCCTCTCCGCTCTCCCACCCCTCCTCTCCACCATCACCGACATCGACTCCAACCCAACAACACTCGCCGTAATCGGTGGCGGATCACTCGCCGCATCAATCGCAGCACTAGCAGCATTGCTCTCGCTAACAGACCCCGAGAAGCGGCGTCAGCAGCAGGCCGAGGTCGTTGGCGGGAGCGACAAGGAGGTTGTTAGAGAATACTTTAACGGTACAGGGTTTCAGAGATGGAAGAAGATTTACGGGGAGACTGATGATGTTAATAAGGTTCAATTGGATATTCGGATTGGACATGCTAAAACTGTTGAGAGTGTTGTGATGATGTTGAAGGAGGATGGGTCGCTTAGTGGTGTTTCGGTTTGTGATGCTGGGTGTGGGACTGGGTCTTTGTCTATTCCTTTGGCTAAGGAAGGTGCTCTTGTTTGTGCTAGTGATATTTCTGCTGCTATGGTTCAGGAAGCCCAGGCTAAGGTACTACTCATCTTATCGTGTTATTGTCTCAATTTAATTGTCACGAAGGTAAGGTATTATAATGGTACTGTCTCAATTTAATTGTCTAGGAATTTAAGTAAGGCACATTTTATTGTTGTAGTAGAATTGTAGATTAGTCTTAGATGATTGTTAGTTACTCTTAGCTATTTCAATATAAATTATTATGTTTTTAGTTTGAATTACAGTAGTAATATAAATGTATATTGTGAGCTAGCTTGGTGAAGATGATGGGGAACTCACGAATTGAGCCTACCATCTGCTCGTGCTTGGGAGTGTGGGATTCCCTTACTTTTCCCTAACGATTACATTAATATCAACATCAACTCAATCAGATGTACGCGGACTTACCCTGTGGCTTGTGGCATTAGAAAGATTGTTTCCAATTGGCTTTAATCCTGATATTCAATAACTCTGTGCTACTTTAACATTATAAGAGATCTTTGCACCAGTCTTAGAAATCAAGATAAAGGCCACTTGTTTACAAATTTGTACTTCTTGCATTCATTTTGAACCAAACCGATGGTACCCTTAAGCACTGCAAATATGTTATATAAACAAGCAATAGTACATCAGTGTGTCATTAGAAAAAATCTGTTTGAAATGCTTTAGCATTAAGTGGCAATGAGTGCTCTCATGTTCGAATTTCGAGCAGCAGAGGTGTTGGTATGGTCTTCGATGTTTATAATTTCATAGACTTTGAGCAGGATCAAACAGAAGTTTCCGTTTCTATAAACTATAGCTCTTTCAGCAAAGAGAAATGCAGTAGATTCATGATTAGACCATTCTAGAAAGAGTAACTTTGTTTTCTTTTATGAACCTAAAAGTTATAATGACATTCACATATTTTATAACTCACAAAGAATGGCATAAATAACTGAACTCAATGCATGAGCGCAGTACAACCTTCTTGGTAAAGTTAGTTCAAGGAGCAGCGTTTGAATTAGAAAAATACAACTGACTTTCATGGTTTAATTTTATTAACCAACTTTCATGGTTTAGTTTTATAAGCTGGTTTATATGGTGGCATCTATGTTACAGTAGACACCCAAGTTGTCAGACTGTATGACAATATGATCCATTTTATAGTTTTAGTAATCGTAAACTCTTAATCAGCACTCTCTTCTGTTAATTAAATTGTAAATTGCTTTCATTTGATATGTTGAACCTGTTCTATACACGCAGGCAAAAGAGGAGCTTCAAATTACCGATACTAGTCCCTCATCAAATATTGTGATGCCAAAATTCGAGGTGAAGGATTTGGAGAGCTTGGATGGGAAGTATGATACAGTTGTTTGCCTTGACGTTCTTATTCATTACCCCCAAGATAAAGCAGATGCAATGATTGGCCACCTTGCTTCATTGGCTGAGAATCGATTAATACTAAGTTTTGCACCCAAGACATTTTTTTATTCTCTATTGAAGAGAATAGGAGAGCTATTTCCAGGGCCTTCAAAAGCCACAAGGGCATATTTGCATGCAGAGGCTGATGTAGAAAGGGCGTTGCAGAAGGCTGGGTGGAAGATTAGAAAGAGAGGATTAACTACCACACAATTCTACTTCGCCAAAATTGTCGAGGCAGTACCTGCATAAATAAATTCAGAGGTTAGATCCATGTTTTGATTTGTTCACATTCTCAACCTGTAGATTATTTTTTTGGGTTAGTCTTATGTAAAGTCCTGTGATTTAAGTGTATCTTAATATTCTGTGTTATTATAAATTTCTGTATTCGTCAAGTATAGGCAACTCTAACTTTAATTAGACAAAGAACAGAAGTTCCAATTTTGTATGGGAGGCTTTTGTTGTCCATGATAATGAAAATAATCAGCTCATTTTTCTTATGACGGCAGATATTTTTTTACTTCTTGCGTCCAATGTGTTCTGGACAGCATGTGTGATGTACATTTTTTGAAGTAGTCGAACACTCGAACTCTTTGTTCACCTCAAGTATTCGTGTGCTAACATGAATGAGTTAATAGACGCTTGATGCTTTACTTTGGACCAAAAAAATTGAATTACTATCTATCTCATACATACAGTGTATATTATGTGCTTTGAAGTGATGATATTCAACTGTAATGGCCAATTGTAAATGCTGCTATGACTATCCTCTGGATCTATGTACCATAAACAAAACATTGTACCTTAATAAATAGTGACATATGTGCAGCAAATCAATATACAAAATGTTTCAATGTTAACTTCCAGTTCAGAGAAAAGATATGCCTGTTATGTTGGGTAAAGCCGAACAATGATATGTTGAAGGCAGTGTGATTGTCTTTACATGGTAATGGTTACAAAAACGAAGACTGGTGTCTCCGCAGTTTTAGTTAGGACATCAGTAAGCTTGCTGAGTATATTCGTCAATGCATTGTTGTTTTTCTTCTTCTGTTCAATGTCCAGTTGATACTGTTGACAGATGTTGTTGTGCCTGTTGAGTACAGTTCTGCATTCTATAATTTGTCTTCTGCCTCTATGACCCTATGTATCTGTGCCTTAAGAGGAGTTAGAGCAAGTTTTGTTCTGTGCCTTTGAGCAATTAGAGATGTCTAGGCATGATTCAATTGCAGTGTAGAATGTGAAGAAATCAAATGATTGAACCATAATTGTGACAGAATATAAGGAGGTAAAAGGCATACTCCAAAGATATGATGGCCTCCCTAATGGAATGGCGAAACTCGACTTGGGTGAAACCAAAATTGTAACCTGGAGAAAACTCAACCGTCTCCGAGAGTATTTCATTCTTATGGTGCCAAAATTTGAGGTGAAGAATTTTAAGAGAATTGACTTATATCACCTTATGTTTAACCTGTACTTTTGTTGACCTTGATAATTGGGAAAAAAATAAATCACCCCATTTTTCTTATGATCAACATAATTTCATTGCTTCCTCTTCATCTTGTTTGAGACATCACGTGTGATTTTTTGACTAGCCACCTTGGGTATAAATATGAATTGCAGATCAAAATATGAATTTATGTATTGAATAGCAGAGATTGACACTTGGACACGCACCCCATGTTTGACAGCAGGGGTCTTTTAGCAAAGTATGCAATTATTCCAGTATCTATATCGTTTATTCAATCATTCAATGTATATCCTGTGCTTTGAACTTCTGATATATGCATTTTAAATCGCCATTGCCATATCCAGTGTGTAAAATAAAGAATGATTCCTGGATTTTTGCCCCTTGTTTTTAGTATACCTAAATAAAAGGGACTTGGGTGAAACAAATCAGAAGTACAAAATGTTTAAATGAAAATTTGCAATTCAAAGATAATAAGTAATTGTGTCATGCATGACGAAGGTCTGAAGGTACTATGAGGTGTGGACATCTTTTACATGGTAAAGGTCTCGAATTCTCAGGTCACAGCTTCTCAGCAATCTTAGACAGGACATCAGTAAGGTTGCTAAGTGTAGACATCAATTCATTGTTGTTCTGTTTCCTCTGTTCTCTCTCCAGTTGACAGTTTTTGTTATGACTTTCGAGTTGTGCATTCAACAATCTGTTGTTTTCCTCCAACACCTTTAAGAGTTGTTCTTCCGAGCAGTTTGCTTTACATTCATCTGTAGATAATCGCTGTCTTTTGCCCTTTCCTTGTGAATCCTCGTTAGAGAAGTTTGGCCTTGATTCTTTTGAAGTATCTGTTAGTGTGAAGAGACATCAGATTATCTAACAATTACAGAATGAAGAATGCCTGAGATAATAGTAAATTTCATTTAGTTTAGCTTGTTTTGTAGAGAATTCAGAGAAATCAATAGACTGATAACCCGATAATGCATATGCATACTAATATTTGGTCTTGGTTTGGATTCCTAAGTCGAAGATTAGGGTAAATCCATAGATATTTATAAAATGCAACATGTGAACTATTGGGTTTGGTTAAGCTAATGTGTATAGAGTGTTTCATTCTCGTACCTTGATTCGAGCTTTTGTTCTTTTTCTGGAATGCTTGATGATGCTGCTCTTCTGCTCCCAAAGAAATTACAATCAGAAATGTATGTCATAGAAACAAACTGAATTTCAATACAAAAACACTAGATGGCAAAAAGAAAACAACTCTTTAAGACTGAACTAAAGGTGCAACACAATATTGTCATCCAATACCAAGAGTGTCTTAAGACAATATGACCCATCAATTCAATCAACACTGAACAATAATTTTATATGTTTCAATCAACAAACTCAGGTGTGGCATTGTAACCATTTTATATGGCGTCTGATATCCCGGTTCTGTTCGATATCAAAGGGCATTTTATATGTTTCAATATCTTTTTACGACGTAAAGAAGGGTTGAAATGCAAGGGCGATAAACTCAAAAACTTATACGAAGTACAATGTACATACAATGGTCTTATGGCCAATTTTATATTATGTTGCACAAAATCAAGAAATTCAAACGTCAAGAAAAACAATAATTGTATGTTTTTGGTTTTTAAAATACCTGAAATCGGTTCTTGAATGCAGAAATTCTTAACAGGTTCCTCAGTCACATTGTCAGCAGACTTAACATCATCCAACTTCCCTGTTATTGCCAGAGTCTCCTGCACTTTATTCTTGATTTCAGACAAAACCTCTGCACCATCCTGCATTTTCTCATCCTCCTCATCAACCTCGTCATCGTCGCCACCCTCCTCGGAACCAAACTCAGCATCATCAGATACAGCAGCAGCAGCAGGAACCGCCTGTAAAGGCAACGGCGAAACAGCACCAGCAGCACCAGTCTCCCTTCCTTCCAAAACCTTAAACACTTCGACATCGAACGTAACAGGCAGCTTCTTCTCTTTTCTAAGATCATTTCTCATATTCCAAAAAGAGTCAGCCTTATTTACCATCTTAGACTCCCAATTTTTCACCTTCCTGAAATCTCCTATCAGATTACTCCACCTCTTCTTGCATTGTGCAGGACCCCTCTTCACACCTTGCTGCTTACAGTAACATGATATCATTACCCACTTCGGCTCCGTGTTATCAAACAACAACGACGGCGACGATGATGATGATCCTGCTCCTGCTCCTGCACCTGCACCTGCATTAACTAGTAATGCAGAACTGATCTTTCTGCCTTTGTGAGGGGAGTTTTCAGTGATTTCCTTAGCCTGAATGAGTGTAAGAGTTTCTTGCCTAGTCCATCTTGGGTGTCTTTTGCTCTTTGCATCAGTTACACTGCCATCATCCAAACCCGGGTTTTGGTTTCCGTTTAATTCAGAAACAATTGCCATTGTTTTTTATTTAAAAAAGCAGGGAAAAATAATAGTAAAGATTCAATCTTTTTTTTTTTTTATTATTGGTTTTTGGGATGTTCTTAAGTTTTGGGGCTGTGCTATACAATTGAAAGGGGTGATTAGGGTAAAGGAAATTGATAATTTTTGGAGATAATATTTGGGGTCTGTAAGTAATCTTACAGTTTAGGTAGGATAGTGATCTTTTTGGGTGTTTTTCCAATTTTAATTAATTGAGAAAATCTTTTCTTTTAAGTCAGTAATAATGGGTATTATTTGATAGCTAGGTTAATTGTGTATCTTATAAATAGGGTGATTATTTCCTTGCTTTGGATGATTTACTTACCTAATATATATGGTACATTGTATAAAATAGAAGATCAAGTTTATTGCCATTCTAGGACTTAGGGAAATAGAAATTGATACAAATTCTTAAATGAAACTGATTCACATTAATTTATTGTGAACCACTAAATATTAGAGAAACTGTGGTTGTTTAATTAATAAAAAAAAAAAAGTCACTATAATAAAAATAAGGTCATTATGTTGAAATAAAAGTCATTTTGGTATTATATAGTCTATAAGAGGTTAAATTTTTTTAATGAAATATTTTATATAATGGTCAATATGAAAATTAAAGGTCACTATGTTAAAATTAGGGTCATAACGCCGTATTCAAGTTCAGAATAATATTAAAATTATACAAGTTTTAATAAAAGTTACTATGTTAAAAATAAGGGTTACTATGTTTAATATAATGTCAGTTGCGTGTGTATAAATTTCGGGTCCATAATAATATTATTGTGGACCAGGTCCATACAAGTCTTTTTTTTTATTGGCATTAAGATACAACTTTAACCGCAAGTGTTTAATATTGCACGAAACTACGGAGTAATAATTTAGCGGGATAATGAACAAAATTACCCTTGGCCTCTTTACATAAACCTATTAAGCAAGTCAGAAGTCGACAATGCATAACATCATCCAAGGCAATGTCCAAAATAAAAAAGAATACCATGTCAACTTTGAGAGTCTTAAAGATGAGAATCAAGAATCTCTAAGGGTTATTGGAAGTGGAAAGATTTTTATCAAGCAAAATGATCAAGTTTTATTTGTATATGAACTAGTTGTGATTTCCTAGATACATTGGGCTTTTGGGTAAGACTATTTGGGAAATTCGGTATTTTTATCCTTTTTCTCTCAGTAATTTTACACTTTCTTCATCTCAATTTACACATTTTTTATTATTCACCATATACCTCTGAATTTTTTTAAAATTTACCATATATCCTTGAATTATTACACAAATTCACCATATACCCCTAATGACAACGAAATGAGTTCATAGATATATAGTGAATAAATAAAAAAACTCAAAGATATATGGTGAAAAAACCGTTAAACAAATATATAAAACTAGTTCAAATCCAACTTGGAATAACCCTTAAATTAAACTTGGATAATCCTTATTACCGCTATTAATTTAAAACTTATCAAATTCATTAAAACTTACTAAAACTGAAAAATAAGATGAATATCATAGATTCATTAGGTCCTTATTTTAGGATAGAAAAAATTCAAATAAATGTTTACAAACTTGGGAAAAAAAAAATGGAACGATCAGTTTGGATAATCCAAGTTTAATCTACAACTAAAACTATTTTTTCCTTTTTTTTTAATTGATAAGTTTCTTGAATAAATCTTGTGTACAAGGGTATAAGCATTTGTTTATTTTAAAATTCTCTTTTAGTCAACAACGTACCTTGTCAATAGTGTTAGTAGTCAAATACTAAGCACAAAGTTTCATATGCGGCTGGCCGCACTATATCTCCTATTCTCTTTTCTGTTTTCTTCTTCCTACCTAAACACACCCCTTTCTCGAACTCTCTTCTATGTCTCCTTTCTCCTCTTTCTCTCTCTCTCCTATTTTCATCTTCTCTAGTTAGCCCACTCAAATTAAACAAGTTAAATGGAGCGGCGGTGGTAGGGGGTAAGGAAGCTCCTCGTACTCCGTCGCCGAAAAACAAGCTAGAGGTTTTAAGGCCAAATTCATCCATGAAAACTCTAGATCTAGAGTTTTCATGGCTAAATTTGGTCTTATTAAACATATTTCAAGTGAAATTCGAAGCCAATATTAATTTTGAGGTATTTGTTCGATTTAATTTTTTTTAACAATTTTAATGGTTGTTAGTGGTACGGGAGTTGGTGGTGGTGTGGTGGAGTTTAAGGTTTTGAGGACGGAGGTTGAGAAAGGTCGGTGTTGGTGGTGGTTACGGTGGGTTTGGGTGTGGGTTAATGGTTACTAGGTCGGGGGCTACCAGGGGTTACTAGGTTGGTCAGGGGTTATTAGGTCGGTCAGGGGTTACTAGGTAGGGGGTTAATAAGGGTTACTATGTTAGGGGTTACTTGGTCGGTTACTAGGTTACGGGTTATTAGGTCGGTTAAGGGTTACTAGGTCGGTCAAGGGTTACTAGATCGGGGTTACTAGGTCAGTCAGAGGTTACTTGGTCAGGGGTTACTAAGTTAGTCAGGGGTAACTTTGTCTGGGGGGTTACTAGAGGTGTTACTTAAGTTGGGTTACTGGAGGGGTTACTGATATGGCACCTTGCCGCACCGTGCGGCCAGCCACATCAGAAACGTGCTAAAGAGCTTAAACTCCTATTCAAACCCAAACTACAATTCCTACTCATACTTGAATTGGGAAACCAAACCAATATACTTATACAAAAGGAAAAATTGCCCGAAATAATTTCATCTTTGGGGCGTCTGCTAAAAATAATCCTACATTTGTGTTATTTTTAAATAATCCGACCTTTATACTTAATCCGCTTAAATGGTCCCAACCGGTCATGTAACTTGTTATAACAAATCATGTGACACGTGTCGTCCTATGATTAGTAAAAAAAATAAAAAATTAAATTAAAAATAATAATATCTTTTTTGAAAGAAAAAAATAATAATAATAATTTAGTAATAATTACCACCAGCAGCCCAACAACCCTCCATGGTCGCCCGACACCCTGACTGACACCTAACGCCGAAACGCCGCGCCAAACACCTCCCCTGAACTACCGACCCTCCTCCCCTCCACCTGAACCGCCGACCCTCCCTCCCCTCCCCTTTCACGTCGCGATTCTAGCCCCCTTTTTCCTCCGTCCCAATTTCGCCCGCGAAAGAGGATTGTTCTTCTTCGACGGCGTTGATAAGAGGAGCACGAAGCAACCGAGCTCGTCAATGAGAGAGAAGACGGTGGAGGTGGGTTCGGAGGAGGTGGATATCGCCGGCATTGGAGAGATAGTTAGGGTTCCGCTGGAGCTTGGTTCGGAGGAGATTTAGTACAACAAGAAGGTTGGTTGGGCTGGGGGATGGGTGGCTGGGGCTGGGGGACTAGTGGCTGGGGCTGGAGGACGGGTGGCTGGAGCTAAGGAACCGGTGACTGGGGTTGGGGGCTGCTGGTTTCTTTCCTTTTTTTTTTTTTAAAATTCATTTTTTTTTTTTTAATTTTAAATTTTAGATAAATCACGTGGTGACACGTGTATTTTCAAACTTAAAATAAAAACCTGTTGAAAAAGTTACCAATCACTTGGGATCATTTAAAGCAGATTGATATTAAAGGTCGGATTATTTAAAAATAACCCAAAAGTGGGATTGTTTTGGGCTAACACCTGTATACACCTAAAAATGTCTCCCCAAAACCACACCCGATGATGAACAACCTTTCATCGCTGTTATTGGTTGGGTTGAGTATTTTAATCTTTGGAGTGCTTAAATCTATTTTCAATCCCAATACATTTCATAAACCAACTCAATTTCTAGTCCGGCCCATTTCACTAAACCATAACTTTTTTTTTTGGGTCCACATCACAAAACCGAGATAAACTGATTTTTTGGCCCTATAATTTTGATCCAAATAGGTTGGATAGGCCTTGAAATAATATTTCCAATGATATATCATAAGCTCAATTCCAATTTAAAACGAAGAAGATATGAGCAAAATACTAAACTCGGCCCAAAACCGACACCCTTTCACTAAAATGGAAAAAATCTTAAAATCTACAAATGATTTTTATCCGATTCTATTAGGTTGGAAAGTAGAATTTATAAGATTTCTAACGATATATTATATGCCTTTATTCCGAGTTACGGATCAAAAGTTATCTTAATTTTAAAAATGCGTAAAAAAACTAGAATTACTGGCAACAGTTTAAAAACGCGCCACGGTATAAGTTGACGTGGCACAATGCTATATACCAAGACACGGTATTCTTCACCGTGTCACAGTGCTTTTTCCGTGTTTTTTCCGCATATCTAGGAAAACTGTGCAGCGCAACACGATCTGCAATACTGTGCCACGGTGAACTGCGTCGCGTCGCGTCGCAGTATCCTGTGTCGTGTCCCCGCATACCGTGACACAGGAATTCCTTTGTGCTTTCCGTGTACAAAACCTCACGCGTTTTCTGAACTTAGCCGTATTTTTGGTAAAATTGTCTATCGCGACACACTTCTTTATCCCGTGTCACGGTAGACAGTACTGCGACACGGTGTTCAGTGCCGCATCACGGTACACACACCGTGTCACGGCGCTTAATTAGGGTTTTTTTCCGCTGATTTATCTCTTTTAGGGTTCCTTGGAGTCCCCTTGTTCGTCTCCTCTATAAATACAAACCTCATTTCTGCAGTTTCGGGGCACCAAAAATCATTCTCTCTCTCCTTACACCAAAAATCGTTCTCTTCTCCCTCTTTAGCCTAAACACTAGCCTTCTTATTATTCCATAATACTTCTTCTAAGCACTCCAAGGAGTCCATATTTGACCCGAGGTTCCGTCCATAAACCAAGACGTGAAAGGTATAATTAACTGAGGGTTTGAACCAAATTAACTCTAATATTTATTTAAATTAGTTGTTTCAATTTGATTTATATTTTAATTGAAGTTACTAACAGTTTATTCATGATGTAGCAATTCAAGTAAACGCGAAAAATGAGTAATTAATTAATTTAA